AATGGGGTACGTTAAACGATTTGCTTGGGACCAATAGGCTAATCAAGTGGTGAGTCAATTTAAAATCGTTAGTTTCCACCGGTTGCACCTTGGGCACGTACGCAATTCGGTAACAACGATTGGACATTTCAACAGGATTGGGAGCGAAAAAGACGCTGCAGCTTTGTAGCAAACTTTCTCCTAGATATTTGACAAAAGATGAATGACCTTTAAACTCTCCTGATTTAAATCCAATGGACTATTCTTGAGTCCAAAGCCTATACTAAGTCACGCATATCTTTAGATCATCTGAAAGCAAGTTTGACAAAAGTCTGGGATGTAATATCTGTGGAGGAACTAATGTCCATCGTCGATAATTTCCCTAAGAGGTTGAAGGCGTGTGTACGAGTCAAAGGAGCACATTTTGCGAAATTGTTGTGAATATCATAAACTATGTTGGTGTACCTACATTTCCCATAAATATGTTGTAATTCAATACACAAGCAATAAAGTTTAAATCATTAAACAAGGATAATTATTCCTCACCCTGTATGCCATATTTTTCGGCGTGAAGTCTATTTGTCATATTTCTCCGACAATTTCGAATTACCAGACAAAAGTAAATACTTGAAAAAATTGACACAAGTAAAATTTTTCAAATTAAATTTGACAGTTGTTATATGCTAAACCATTTCCGTGACCATTTCTACCGTAAGACGATTCCTCTCATCACTTCTTTGAGATCTAATCAAAGAAAAATGCGCTGATAGTTTGTGTTTTGTCCCGGTATTGACAAAAACTACTGAGTAAAGGGTGTCCACGATGAAATTACCACACACAAAATTGAATCGCAAAATTCGAGTTTTCATCCGATTGCCATCAAATTTTCAGGGATTGAGAAATAACTATTAAACTTCATTTTACCATTTTACTCGTATTTTATTTACAGTCCATACGCAAATGCCCGCACCTTGGCCTTAACCCCGGCCATAAGATTCTGCACAACCTGTGAATCAACCGTTTTTTACATGTAAACCCATACTTTCTTCAGTTCCTCGACTGTCTTCACTACCTTAGGTCGTTTAAGAAGGTGCTGCTTCATAATCGCCCAGTACTTCTCGATGGGGCGGAGCTCCGGAGTGTTGGGAGGGTTGAACATTTTCGGCACGAAATTGACCTTATTGTCCGCATACCACTTCAGCACGTCCTTGGAGTAGTGGCATGAGGCCAAATCCGGCCAGAAGATTGTTGGGACGTTGCGGACCTTCAGGAGAGGAAGCAGCCGCTTCTGGAGGCACTCTTTTATGTACACCTATCCGTTCATCGTGTCCTGGATCACGAAAGGTGCACTCCGCTTCCCGCACGTGCAGATGGCTTGCCAAACCAGGAATTTCTTCGCAAATTCGGACATCTTCTGAGTGCGGACATGCTCCGGAACGCTGAACTTATCCTTGGCCGTGAAAAACAGGTTGCCGGGGATCTGTTTGAAGTCGGCCTTCACATATGTTTCGTCGTCCATGATGCAGCATTCAACTTTCGTCAGCATGTTGAGGTACAACTTCCTGGCACGGGTTTTGGCGGACTTGTTCTGCTTCTCGTCGCGATTAGGGGCCTTTTGTACCTTGAACGTTCGAAACCCAGCCTTAGTTTTGGCCTTCTGGACAAAACTTCGGCTTAGGTGCAGCTTCTTAGCCACATCCCTAGCGGAGGCGTTCGGATTTCGGTTGAAGGCCCCAACTACGCGGTTGTGATTTTTGGTGTTGTACGGAATACTTTTTCCTTCACTTCTGGGCTTCCGATCGGTGGTCAACCGTTCCTCGAACCGCTTAATCACTCGCGACACCGTGGAATTCGCGATTCCCAACGTTTTAGCGATGGAACGATGCGAGAGATCCTTGTTCTCGTGATGAATGCGCAAGATTTTATCACGCACGAGCTGTTCTTTCGACTCCATTTCCGCGAGTTTTGATCACAGGACTTTAAAACTTGCAGGATGTAAATAATGCACTATGAACTAAATCCACCCAAATTTTCATTAAATTCTACCCAACGGTTAAAAAGTTAGAGCAATTTCATAGTGTGGCAATTTCATCGTGGACACCCTTTAATCTTCAAAATTTCGGCGCTACCGAGCATAAGAACTTCTTGAGGTTGACGAACTGATCGAAAATCAGATTCTCGTAGATGCAGACATCTTTATCTTTCAGGAACAGAACAGTTTTCTCGACGTCTTCATACTTAATCGTCGGATTTTGGAAATCAAGCCACCGGAACACCTATAATCCAAATTATTAAGCGTTGTGAATTATTTCATGCTGCTATGCTCATAGCCTCATATTAGAAAGAGATTCCGTCCACTCCTCCAAATACTGTTTAGTTGCTCTGTAGACTTCCTGAGTAACAGCATCGAATTCCAAATATTTTCGGTCCTCGATCCGACAGAGTTGATTTTATGCTTAGAGGTAGGAATTTAGCTTCAAATCTCTTCTCACGAGAACCACGCACTTCATCAATCGTTCGCAGTACCTCTGCTCCCTCTCAAGAAACTTGATTTTTTCACTGAAAAGGGTCATCCGTGAGGGCGTAAAAAGCAAGTAGCATTCACTTAATTCAACGTGGAAAAATTGGTCGATGAGTTTTGGTGGCTGGTCTTGCGATAAAAAATACGATTTCAACGCCGGAAACATTTGCAGAATTCGTGATACTGTGATACTGCAGGTTACGATACTCAATTTCCACGAAATCGCAGAACTCAGCTGTTCTCACAGTGTAGATCGAAAAGCAGTTGTAAATGTTAACGACAAAAGAGTCCATGTCAAAAGTTCCCAACTGATCAAGACCGTGGTGAAGCGTGTTGTGCAGAACGGGAAGAGGGCATCCTAAACCAATAAGGTTGGAATTGAATGTCTGTTGCAGCAAGTGAAAGACGTTCTCCAAAACGTCACCAAAATTCGTATTAGTGTTGTCTCCACTGAAAGCTACTAATTTGTCTTGCAAATTGTGGTTTTTGAATACATGATCAATTATTTCAGTGATCGTTCCAGCTTTCTCATTAGCCAGTTTATGGAGATCCAAAATCCTCACTTGAATGCCCCTTTTTCGATGCATCGAAGTACTGCACAACGATGGAAAATAGCTTTGTTTCCGTGATTGCTCCCGTATGTACTTACACTAATGAAAGGAGTTCCGGAGAGTTTCTTCAAAGTAACGTCGATTGAATGCGGCAAAGGAACTCCAGTGATGATGGCTTCTGCCTTAGTACGAGCGCAGCTAATCTTTCTGGTAGCTTCGGAGCCGTCGAACATCATACGCAACAAAGCGGGCGTACAATCCATCAATTTGAAGCTGTTGTGGTGCATTACCGTGGGAAATGCAAGAGTTTCTTCTGCTGCCCAAATTTTCAGTGCCGCTGGAGTAGACTTTTGCACCACAAAGTTCAGGATGGACTTCGAAGTCGATGCCATCTAAACATTTTTAGAATGCTTGGGTGTTTGGATATGCTTTTTCAAATCCGATTTACCTGAGGAGGTTTATGATTTATTTGAGTACATTATTCCTCACCTCAGAATCAGGACATGTCTTGCTAAATCATGACGGATGGTATCCCTTGCTAAAAAGCATAAAATAACGTACCTTATAATTACAACATACTGGAGATGATTGAGTTCTGCTTTCTCTACACTCTAAAAAATCTTAACGTCCGATTTACGTGAAATATCACGTACCTGTTCTGTATTTAGAAAATCTCAAATGTAACGTGACGTTAGTAACTTTGATATGCATTACACGTCATGTCCACTAAAAATGTTGGTGAAATTGACCGTATAATCACGTTAACAGATTTAGTGTATTTGTGTTTGTGTATTTGGGACTTCGATATTTCCGTGAAACGAGATTTACGTGATTTACAGGTACGCAAAAAAAATCAAAGATGGCGTCACCGAGCATGGTGGAAGAATTCCTCAAAGTTTCAAAATTCCTCAGCGCTTGTTTCAAATGTTGGACGGTAAATAGATTCTATTATATTAATTTAATTAAGGCGAACCAGCCGAAGGCTGAAAGCCTCCCTAATAAAGATAAATTAATTAATTATTAATTTATTTATGATTATATGTAGCCTTTTTCTAGTTTTATAATTTCAGACGGCGACATCAGCATTTTGAGTCTGCAACAATTGTTAATATTTTGTCAGAAATAAAAAAAAAACTCATACACGTTTCTACCTTATAATAATCAATTAGTCAATATTTCACAATTTTATGAGTAGATATAAGTATTAATTTAAACACGTGAAATTTATATCTTCCCGATAAAATTGCATAATATTGGCTGGTTCTATATATACTTCCGGTTATTCTCATTAAAAATTCACATACAAATTACATGAAAAGCATTTAAAACCAAACGGAATGTCACGTAAAAGTTACCAGATGTCCAGTAGTTTTCACCAAAATTTCACGTAAGCAGTACGTGGAAATCAGGTCTTATTTACCTGAATAATCACGTAGATAATTGAAGCTGAATTTTGATCGGTTACGTGCAATTCCGGTAAAAGTTACGTGAAAAATAGGGTGGACGAAAACCACCTATGTTTTCACGTTAATAGGACGTGAAGATTTTTCAGAGTGTACATACAGCTACATATCAATTCCGGAGTGATTTGAGATTTGGGCGTAATTGCATTTGTAAACAAACACGTCAACTGCCGATTTCTCGCGAATGAAAACTCAATTTCGAAAACTAAGATCACTTTGAGGTGAAGGAATTATTCCTCTTTCATTTGGCATAGCTTGTTTAACAGATTGAGGTTTTATTCACGAAAAATCGGCGGTTGACGTGTTTGTTTGCAAAAGCAACTACGCCCAAATTTTAAATCACTCTGGAATAACACCTTCCACCCACTCTTCTTACTGAGAATTCCTTGCAGCAATTATTGTTTCAACCGACAACGTTTATCACTTTCGAAATTATTTTTAATCATCATCAAGCACTACCAAGGGCTTTCGGAAAAGCAAAACAACTGCAACTCGTCAAGCTTTCAATTTTCAATTCAACAACAAAACCCATTATCACTGCTCAACCACTTCCTTTTGTTTCTTCTTTTTCTTCTTATCCTTCTTGGATTTCACTTTCACATCACCTTGCTGCTGTTGCTGCTGCTGCTGCTTCAGCTGTTCCTTGCCCTCTTTGGACAGCTGCTCCAAAGTGATGCTCAAAATGGCATCACAACCGGGATAGAGCACAAAATCGGTACCTCGAACCTTTCGCTGACCTATGTAGCTCAGCACTGCCTCCTGCTGGAAGGCAAGATCCAACGACTGCTGATGCGTCAATTGATTCAGATCCCTGGTTGGAACCTTGAGAATGCAACACTCGAAACCGTTGACCTACAGGGGTAAACGAAGGAAGAGGGAAGGGATATTAGTTTGGCGCGTAGGTATTGAGCATTTTGCACCAAAGCAGGACTCCAGCACTGGAAATAATCCTTCAGGCAAGCTCTATATTAAATTTAAAATGATTTAATTTCATTTTTACTGACCTGAGCGAAAAGTAATGTTGAAGGATTATTTTCAGCGCAGCAGCTGAATTTCGGGCATACATTTCATCAGAGAGAAAGATATTTATACATAGGTACACAAATTCCCTAATGATCTTATCTTTTTGTCATTCTGATCAGGTTATTCAGACTGTTTAGTTTGCTGGTTTTAATCGGTTGGTCAACTGATATTCTAGTCTTTAGGTTCTGATTTAATATCCCCACACCCCTCGCTCACCTTAAATGTCAAATCCAGCGCATAATCCTCATCCGCCGTGGGCCATCGCTGCTCAAACACTCCCCGATCCCATTGGATCTCTTCGGAGCTGGGATTCAGCCGGTGCGGCAGTGCACGAAACTGCTCCCAAAGTTCCGAAGCGAAGTGCGGCGCCATCGGTGCCAGCATAATAATCTGCGCTGCAATCGCTCGCTCATACTGCCGGCCGAATGTAACCACCTCAGGACTGGATCGGCGGATGGCATTCGTCAAGCCTTGCTGTTTGGAAATTCCCACACTCAGTTGGTGGGAAAACTTATAGTTGAATGTAGCGCCAGCGGAAAAGTAATTCCGCGCGTCCCACAGCTTGCGGTCCTGCTGCCGGAATTCTTCCGTGTCCGGTGCGGTTTGACCCGGTTGGATGGCCATCCGCAATAACCGATAATCATGCACGGTCATCCAAATGCGCTTCTGCCAGTTGAGAATGCCGGGGAATGCTGAAACGATGCGAGGGAAATTAGAACGAAGTCTTAATTTCTGAAAATCGCCGTCTACTTACTTGCTTCGGACCAATTCCGGTGCGAGGTGGGTGCCACGTCTCCGAGCAATATAAGTCGCAAGGTATCACAACCATGTTGCTTTAACACATCCAACGGATCCACTCCGTTCAGCTTGGATTTGGACATCTTCTCCCACAGGGCCACTACCGGAGCTCCGGTCGCCTTTTCGATTGCTTTATTTTTCTTTTCATCAACAACTTCGACCTCTGAGGCAGGTAGATATTTGCCACTGCCTTTGAGGCGATAGGAACGACCCATGACCATTCCTTGAACCAGTAGACGTTTGAAGGGTTCCGGTGAAGATACCAGCCCCTTGCTGTGCAGATAGTGGTTCATGAAACGAGCGTAGTACATGTGCAAGACGGCATGCTCCTTGCCACCCACGTACAGATCCACCGGCATCAGCCGGCGAGACAGTTTCGGATTCACAATCTCGGATTGATTCTTCGAATCGAGGAAGCGCAAAAAGTACCACGAACTATCGACAAACGTGTCCATTGTATCCGTTTCCCGTCTTGCGTCCGACGAATAGCACTTTGGACACGTTGTTTTGTGCCATTCCGTGTTTTGTGACAAAGGAATGCCTACCGAGTCCAGAGGCAGCTTGACAGGTAGATCAGAATCAGAAACTGGAACCGTTCCACAATTTTGACAATGAATAATAGGAATGGGCGTTCCCCAGAATCTTTGCCGGGAAATCAACCAATCTCGCAGCTTTGAACTTACAGGGTATCCACCTAGGTTCAATTTAGAAGCTTGATTCAGAACATTTTCACGCAGTTCGTCGGTTGTTTCTTGCGATGAATCACCTAATGGGATTTGGTATTGATTTGCAAGTACGCGATCTTCTTCGACAGAAGCCACTCCCAAATAGCAATCGTTTCCTTCGGGGAAATTTACTTTCTCAGTCACGATTACCGGCAGATTCCGCCCCATTATGGGATTCTCTATCTCTAGACCAAGCTTGCCTTCATTAACTTTGCTACTGTTCAGAAGATTCGAAGGTTGCACAGCTACAAAAACCGCTTCCTTCAGATGTTCCGGATGCTTGGTCCAAATAGGAACCGTCCTATTCTCTCCTGCGACTTTTAGCTCAAAATTGAATCCATCACACTCACCAATCCAATGCTTCTGCAGCTTGATGATATCCTTCCAATCCTCCAGTGTCGGATCAGCCAAACCATCATACAGGGCTTTAGCGAACTTGGTCGTTTTAACGAACCACTGCCTCAGCACCTTCTTTTCCACTTTCGCTCCAGACCGCCACGAGCACCCATTATCGTCCACCTGTTCATCGGCCAGCACCGTTTCATCAACCGGGTCCCAATTGACCTGTGCTTCCTTTTGATAAGCCAACCCGTCTTTGAACAACATCAGAAACAGCTTCTGCGTCCACCGGTAATACTCCGGATCGCACGTGGCAAACTCTCGTTCCCAGTCGAAACTAAACTGCAACATTTCCAGCTGTTCCCTCATCTGGCCAATATTCTGCTGCGTCCATTTGTCCGCTGGAATCTTCCGCTGCATAGCAGCATTTTCTGCTGGTAACCCGAACGCGTCCCATCCCATCGGATGCAGCACGTTGGCACCGTTCAATCGATAAAACCGTGCCATTGCATCGCTGATCGTGTACACTCGAACGTGACCCATGTGCAAGTTTCCCGACGGATACGGGAACATTGCAAGAACGTACCGTTTTGGTTTGCTGCTCGAAGGATCGAATCTGTAATCTCCCAAATTGTTGCGCCATTTTTGCTCAATTTCCAGCTTCATATCCGATGTTAACTCTCGTGTCTCCTTCGAAGAAACAATCAAACGAGTTTAAAAAAAAAATCATCATTCATCACAAAAACTTAGCACTCACCAGTAGATTGCAACCGGCAGTTGTTGAACACATCCGCCGAAGCCATTTTTCACCGCCACCAGCAAGTATTTTCTGCTGCAAAGATTTTATTGCACCCAACTGGATCAGTCTCATTTCGTTTCCGCCGATTTCAACGCGATTTTAAGCGACTTTTATGGAATTATTAATCATTAAACAAACCATTACACCATTACACAACGCGCTCATGAGCACAAAACTGAAACCGAAAAAGACCACTAACAAAACGAACGAAATGTCAGAAGGAAGCGATCATAACAAACGAGAAATGAAAACAAACCTAAAGCGCATGCGCCGCCTTTGCGTGCGCTGGAGGGGGTGTAAGAAGATGAACAAAACAAACAAAAAGCACGTGCTGTTCTGTTTTTGTTTTAGCCGATCAGCTGCTGTTTCATCGAGTGTTTTGTAAACAAAATTTTAGTCGGCGAGATCAGCTGATGTTTACATTGCTGCAGCCCTACTAAAATCGATCCAAAATAGCACGACTACTGGATAAAACACAATTTTAATCAATATTTACCCTATTTAAAGTTGTACAAAATTTAATGATCCCTACACACTGAATTCGGAACTTTAACACAGCAAAAAAAAAAGTTATTGAATATTACATTTAAACTGCTGCACCCAGATCATTCCATCAGTTGTGTGATATTACGTATAAATTACATCTCGGTGGAAGTCTAATCAAATTGCAATATGCATAAGAAATTCCATTGGAAATTTCTTCGCGAGTGTGAACGTTAAATACAATATGATACATTCAAAAAATAAATCAAATTTCCAATGGAAAATATCCATTAGAATTTCACATAACTTTCATGTGATCTCATAATTGGGAATCGCACTACATAAACACATGAACCTTATGTGTGCAATTAAATTTATGTGATTTATCACATAGAATTTATGTGATCATATGAATGTTATGTGAATTTCAGATAAAAATCATTAATTTTGTTATTGGAAAAATATCATGTGCGTTCTCAATGAAAACTATATGAAAACTTTTTTCGGTGTACGTTTACAATACTGAAGGCCCAAGCGCAATGTGGGCGGAAGCGGAATGGAAACGGAAAGTTTGACAGTTGTCACAAATGACATCAAGATGCCTAACCGAAGTCGATTTGGTTCTAACTAGTTTTCAATCCGACAAGTAGGCTTTCTCAGACCGGGCTTTTCCGCTTCCACTGTCATTGCGCTTGGGCCTTGAGGCTTACTCATATCGGACTTTTCCGCTGCCGCTGCCGTTTCGCTTCTGCTGTCATTAAACTTGGGCCACTAAGGGCTGAACACAATAATAGCGGCACAGTGGCATAATTGCAAGCGCAAATTTTTCAATACTCTGAAATCCATTTGACAACCCACATTGAGCGCGTTGTGGCAAAAGCGGCATTGTACTAAAATGCGTTTTATTCAATATTATGGAAAAAACTCGGTGCGGTTGAGCCACCGACAAACCAACATGAAACTTAAACTTAATTTTCGCTCAAAAATCTATAGCAGTCGATTGAAATGTGCAGCGATCCCATCTACATAGATAAAAAATAACTTGTCCAGAATAGATCAGACACGAACCAACTCATACATTTTGCACTCGTGTTCGTGGCTTAGATAAACGTTTTTCGTGGACACGGAGACAGGTGTCGGTAGTGTGCTTTGAGCAGAAATTTCGTCGTAATTTCTATGGTTAGTTTGTCGGTGGATGAGCGGCAACCTGAGAAGTGTTCAATGTTTTCATATGTATTTTTTATGTAATTTTGAATTAATCAGAACCTTCAAGATGTGAACTAAATAATAATAAATAAGTAATCAGAACCATGTTGGCAGCATCCGGACCCCCGGGGAAGTGGTTAGATTCTTCTTGATCGAACACCCTTATGTGAAACCTCAAACTACAGCAGAATTCAAAAATAATACCATTGGTGACAATATAAAGTAATCAGGACCACGGTTGCTGCAACCGGGCATGTTTCCAGGGACGTGAACAGGTTCTTCATGAACCAACACCCGAGCCAACACCCTTATGTGACACGTAAAACTACATCAGAATTCAAAAATATGATCATTGGTGGCCATACTAAGTACTCAATACCACGTTGACCAGATCCGGACATGTTCCGGATACCCCCGGAGAAGTGAAACTTGAACGTACATCCTAATGTTACACATGAGACACCTAAGGACATATTAAGTACTGAAGACCACGCTGGCCAGCCATGTTCTGGCTGCTCCCGGGGAGTTTCATAAATTTTCCGAAACTTTCCTGAGCTCAATGATACGAGATGAACTAGCCAAAGAGCTAAAATATCGCTAATAAAGTCTTTAAATAAATAAGTCAATGGAACTTCTCTGGAGTTCTCAGAACTTAGCTGAAATTCTCTTCAGAACTACTCTGAAGGTCTTCTCAGAACTACTCTGAAACTCTCCACATAACTACTCTTCCGTTCTCCTCAGAACTACTCTGAAGTTCTCTTCAGGTTTGCTCTGAAACTCTCCACAGAAGTTCTCATCAGAACTACTCTGAAGTTCTCCTCAGAATTACTCTGAAGTTCTTCACAGAACTACTCTGAAGTTCTCCTCAGAACTAAGTTCTCATTAGAACTACTCTGAAGTTATCCTAAAAACTACTCTAGATCTTCGTAGAAATTTTCAACATTTTCCTGAAATGTACGAAGTTGTCTGAATATTTTCTTGAAGATCTTTTAACTTTCCCGATAGTTGAGACTTCCCTAAAAATAGTTCGTATGAATAAAAGCGTTTACTTTACTTTTCCCGTAAGAAAAGCACGGGAAAGTAAAGTAAACTCTTTTTATTCATACGGCCCAATATCTTTGCACCCTAGAAGTTCTTTGAACTTTTCAATAAATAAGAGTTCTCTAAAATTCACAGAAATTTTCCTCAGCTCCCACAATTTTCCTGATATATATATAGCTCTCCATATTTTCCCACGGTTCATGGCACTTCTTAGAAAGTGCTTCCAAATTTTTTGTAGGTAATGCAAATTGAGAGATGATCACTGGACTTCGGAGAATTTCAAAGCCCCTTAGATATTTTTACAAGGATTCAGATTGATCAAATCTTCAGAAAGACCTTCTACTGATCCAATATGATGTCTGATCTACTACTTGTTGCTGTGATTCGAGGTCAGATTAAACCGAAACAGACTGATCCACGCTGGCTGAAATAATCAAGATAGTAAAGTAAAATTAATTTTTTTTTTCCTTTGGTTTGTTTTTTCCGTCGATCTTGTTTTCCGTGCTGAGCACCAATGCTACCGACGTGCCAGGAAGGCAGCTCCCACACCTGGACCCTACCTATCGACCCATCAACTCATGAACCGGGGACCAACGGCTTTACTTCCCATCCGAAGGAAGGCGTAATCAGAGATGTTATGTCTCAGAACATCCCGGCGGCGCCGACTGGGATTGAACCCAGGCCTGCTGGGATGAGAAGTAATCACGCTTACCACTACACCACCGGCGCCGTTGTGTAAAATTAATTTGTTTGTCTTGATTTTATTATAAATAATTGTCAAAAGTTCGATTTTAATGTGTCCCGCGAGAAAAATAAGCGTAGCTTTAAGAGATGTTTGCGTTAATTTTGTGTTTGAAGCAGTTTTGATGTTTAGATATAGAAAATTGTCATTAGGGTAACTATGTTATCTGTTGACAAGTAGAAATAAATAAATATACTTAAATATACTTAAAAGCAAATCTCCATTTGCTTGCATTTTGCTAGTTGCGTCCTAATCACAATTTACTCCGGAGTTATTCATTTATTTTGATTAAAAACTTTTCAGCGTACTTAGAAAATCGACGAACCAAGGGTTTGGCAACCCTCTGCCAAAACGATCTGTCATTGTGCTGTCAAATTTTCGGTTTTCTCTTTCCACTTGTCACAAATTTTCTGCCGAGTGCAGACGTGTCTAACCGTTTTTTCCGTGATAAATAAAATCGATCGAAAAATAAAAGATTGTGCAAAGTTTGCGAGCTTAATATCTCCGTCTGAAGTGAATTTCCCATTCGGTATTGGCGATGGGAGACTCGCTGGAAGCGACCGTGGGCAGCATGGGCAGCGATCCGCCCCAGTCCGTGGTGGACGCCGAGTCGGTCGCCATCATGGACTACGACGGCTTCACCAACTACATCCGAAAGGCGGTGACCATTCTGCTGCCGGAGGAGGACGTCGTTCCGGTGCCGCTGAATGCCGCCCTCGACGATTCGTCCAACCAGGAGTGCATCCGGAAGTTTCTGAGCGATCCGCAAACTCAGGCCCTGTACATCCAGCGGTCCTGTTTTAAGGGTAAGTTACTTTTTTCACTTTTGCAAGATGGCGTACCGTAAGTGGGAGTGTACTGTTATTCTGTTATGGACGGGTATGTGTGTTTGGGTGAGTCATCGCTGCTTCATATTGGGGATTGCAGCTTGAATTATTGATTTTCGTTTCGCTGTGGTTTTATTCGTCGTTGTCTCGTTTATTATAGCGGAACAGTCATGCAATTTATTTTCTTTTTTCGATTTCAGATGATGAAAATGAAGCGCCGACCGAAGGAGAAGAGGAGAAAGATGCCGTGACGTACTACATCAGCAACGATGTGCACTTTTCCAACCAACGAATGGCTTCGTTGGTTTGCATCAAGCGTGGTATGGTGATCGAAGCGGACAAGTCGATCCATTCCCAGATCCGGTTGATTAACTTTTCCGAGGGTTCGCCGTACGAGACGTTGCATTCGTACATCAGCAAAACGTTGGCTCCGTACTTCAAAAGCTACGTCAAGGAATCAGGCCGCGCGGATCGCGATGGCGATAAAATGGCACCCTCGGTTGAGAAGAAGCTTGCCGAGCTGGAAATGGGTTTGTTGCATTTGCAGCAGAACATCGACATTCCGGAGGTTACCTTGAACATTAACGGTACCGTAGCGCAGGTTGTGAAGAAATGCGCTGACGAAGGCCGCAAGGCTAAGATAACTGATTTTGGCGATAAGGTTGAGGATTCGACTTTCTTGAACACGCTGCAGAATGGTGTCAATCGTTGGATCAAGGAGATTCAGAAGGTTACCAAGTTGGATCGTGACCCTTCTTCGGGAACGGCTCTGCAGGAGATATCCTTCTGGTTGAACCTGGAACGGGCGTTGCATCGTATTCAGGAGAAACGCGAATCACCGGAAGTTGCACTCACCCTGAACATTTTGAAACATGGTAAACGATTCCACGCGACCGTTTCCTTTGACACCGATACCGGATTGAAGCAGACCTTAGCGATGGTAGCCGATTACAACCCGCTGATGAAGGATTTCCCGATCAATGATTTGCTGTCGGCTACCGAACTGGACAAGATTCGTCAAGCCGTTCTATCGATCTTCAATCATCTGCGCAAGATCCGTAGCACCAAGTATCCGATTCAACGTTGCCTACGACTGATTGAAGCCATTTCCCGGGATCTCAGCCAGCAGCTATTGAAGGTGCTCGGAACTCGCCGGCTGATGCATATTCCATTTGACGAGTTTGAACGTGTGATGAACCAATGCTTCGAGGTGTTCAGTTGTTGGGATGATGAGTACGACAAACTGCAGGGAATCCTACGCGATATCGTCAAGAAGAAGCGAGACGAACACATCAAGATGGTTTGGCGCATTGCTCCGGCGCACAAGAAGCTACAGCAACGCATGGAACATATGCGCAAGTTCCGTCGTCAGCACGAGCAGCTTCGTACCGTCATTGTTCGGGTTCTGCGTCCGGCCCGCCAACCCACTGGAATGTCCGGCGGTGGAGACACCACAATCGCCGATCCCAAGCAACCTTACAGCTTGGACACTGCCGATGCTAACGCAATCGAAGAGGTCAATCTGGCCTACGAGAACGTGAAGGAGATCGAGTGCTTGGATATTTCCAAGGAAGGCTCCGAAGCGTGGGATGCCGCAATCAAGCGATACGAGGAACGAATCGATCGCGTTGAGACGCGCATCACTGCCCATCTGCGCGATCAGCTGGGAACGGCCAAAAATGCCAACGAAATGTTCCGCATATTCTCGCGCTTCAATGCCCTGTTTGTGCGTCCTCATATCCGAGGAGCGATCCGAGAGTATCAAACACAGCTGATTCAGCGTGTCAAAGATGACATCGAGGCTCTGCATGAGAAGTTTAAGGTAATGGTATTCAACTGGTAATGTTGTTAACAGGAGTTCAACTATGGATTATTTTTTTTTTTTCGTAGGTTCAATACCCTCAAAGCAAGAGCTGTCGCCTGTCGGTCGTCCGCGATCTTCCCCCGGTGGCAGGTTCCATCATTTGGGCCCGTCAGATCGATAACCAGCTGACGATGTATCTGAAACGTGTGGAAGACGTGCTCGGCAAGGGTTGGGAGTCTCATATTGATGGGCAAAAGTTGAAGGCCGACGGTGATAGCTTCCGTGCGAAGCTGTCCACGGCGGAAGTGTTCCAGGAATGGGCACGCAAGGTACAGGAGCGCAACACCGGAATCACCGGGCGAATCTTCCTGATTGAATCCACTCGCTCCCGTACCGGTCGTGGCAACACCCTGCGGTTGCGCGTAAACTTCCTTCCGGAAATCATCACCCTGTACAAGGAAGTACGCAACCTGAAGAGCCTGGGATTCCGCGTACCGTTGGCCATTGTCAACAAAGCTCACCAGGCGAATCAACTGTATCCGTTTGCCATTTCGCTGATTGAAAGCGTCCGCACCTACGAGCGTACACTGGAAAAGGTAGGAACTCTTATTCTCATTCAACCCGTGCTTTCATTCTTCACCAATCGATCAAGTAAAACTGGTCATCAACACCAACAATTTTAAACATCGTTACCCCCGTTATCATACTAAACAGTTAGAGATTTGAAATCACCCACACTCACATAGTTCATCATTCCCACCTCACCCAACCACTTAATATTGCTCCGTCCCGAAAACAAATCAAAAACCAAACCAGTAAAAAAACGTATTGTACAACGATATTGTTTTTCCATGCAGCTAACAAATAGGAGTTTAGCACAAAATTCAGTATTCAAGGTAGAACTAGCTAAAGCATTAGCATTAGTTGTTTAGTTTTTATTATTCCGTTTATTCTGTTTGTTTTATTACTACTAGTCTTATTTATCTCCTTTCTATTGTTTGGCAAACCGGAGGCAGTGCTTCTTTGGATCGGAGTTTATGTTTTGATCGATGGGATTATTATTTTTCTGTTGCCATCCGCTGAAACGGGAGCTTCTTGTTATTGATTTGGTCCTAATATTGCCACGGTAGATTGCTTTATCTAGTTGCTTTCGTTTTGTTTCGGATCCTGCCGTATTTGTAGGTGGCTTAAAAATGGTAACAGCGAAGGTATGAATTTCACGTTAGGGGGGGGGGGGGAAAGAGGGGCATTGAATGGTAGTACTGTTGAACAGGCATGGGTAGCTGTCCAGCTGAGCGATCACACACTGTACTTATGTGTGATATACATTGCACCCGACCGAGTTCGCAACATTGAACTTATCGAAACTCATTGTCGATCCGTTTCCACCATATTAGATTGTGCGTCACCTATCGATGAGATTATTGTTCTGGGCGACTTTAATCTTGCTGGTGTTTCGTGTAAACCTTCCCACAGTGGCTTTCTCTTTCCGGACCCCGCTGGTTCTGCTTTCCATCCTGGATCAGTTAGCCTTCTCGACAGCTATAGCGCAACGACGCTATCTCAAATCAATCTCGTGGTTAACGAGAACAATCGTAGCTTAGACCTCTGTTTCGTAAGCGCTCAGGATACGGCTCCATTCATCTCGTCGGCTCCTTCTTCACTCGTAAAGGAAGTTCCTCATCATCCTCCTTTGGTTATTACTGTTGAAGACAATCACATTCGGGATCTCGAAGACATCTCCAACAGCATCGTCAGGAAGGGGAAAATTTCCCCTACCCGATGTTGCTGTTGTGTCGCGTGGGTGTACTTCAAGTAGTGAGTAAAGGGCCCACAAACCATTTGTTTACAAATGGCTTTTGTGCCGTTTTCAAATGTTAGCACTGAGTTAGTCGCAGTTTTGATCGTCACGTTGCATGGAATAAAAGCATTGCATGGAACATGAAATGTTTCTGTAAGTGGAAGAAATCAAAAATTCGGTTGGTTTTTGAAACGTGCGTGGATCCGGAAAGACATTAAAACACAACGTAGGGCCTGGTCACCGCTCGATGGAACACCGATCATCGTAGCATTGCCGATGTGCTGTCAAGCATTGATTGGGAAAACATACTCGATTCTGATAACGTCGAAACTGCAGCTCAAACTTTTTCACATGTCTTGGCTTATGTCATTGACAGACACGTACCTAAGAGCGTTCACCAGATTGCATCGCACCTCCCTTGGCAGACGAACGAATTGATGAAGCTGAAATCGATCAAGAGAGCCGCGTTGAGGAAATTCACTAAATATCGAACGATGTCACTGAAACGTCACTACGCTAAGCTCAATTATCTGTTCAAGCGAGTCAGCCGTCAATGCTACTTGCATTATCTGCGAAGGATTCAAAGGAAATTCAAGTTGCACCCGAAGTCTTTCTGGAAGTACGTGAAGGAGCAGCGCAAAGAGTCCGGTCTACCATCATCCATGATATTGAACGGCGAAGTCGCTTCCACTCCACAGGAAGTCTGCCGCCTGTTCTCCAACAAGTTTGCAAGTGTCTTCTCTGACGAGAGCTTAACCAACGAATACGTGACTCTAGCAGCAAGCAACGTTCCACTTTCCGGTCAAGCTCTGGGTGGAATTGTTGTCAACGCTGAAGTGATAACGAATGCCGTACTAAAACTAAAGCCTTCTATCAACTCTGGACCGGATGGTGTCCCTTCAGTCTTTCTGAAGAAGCATATCGCTTACTTACTGTCACCGCTACAACATCTGTTCCGATTGTCCATATCGTGTGGCATTTTTTCCATCGAACTGGAAATTTGCGCATATGTTCCCTGTGTATAAAAAGGGTAGTAAACGGAACGTGGATAATTATCGTGGAATTACATCGTTGTGCGAAATTTCGAAGTTATTCGAGTTAATCATCATAGAGCCTCTGGTCTCCCATTGCAAGCAGTATTTAAGTGAATATCAACATGGCTTCACCTCTGGTCGATCTACTACCACGAATCTACTGTGTCTGACATCGTACATCACGCAAAGTATGGTTGAAAGGTCACAAACAGACGTCATCTACACTGACTTGTCTGCTGCCTTCGATAAGATAAATCACGCCATCGCGATCGCCAAATTCTATAGACTTGGGATAGCGGAAATCTCTTGAGATGGTCTCGCTCATATCTCGCCGATCGTCAGTTGGTGGTAGCCCATGGTGACTGCCAGTCTGACATTTTCGCAGCTACGTCAGGAATACGTCAGGGTAGTCATCTGGGACCGTTGATTTTCTTACTCTACTTCAATGACGTGAATTTAGTTATCGAAGGTCCACGACTATCGTATGCAGACGATCTCAAAATCTACTTACGGATCTGCTCGATCGATGATTGTCAATTCCTCCAACGTCAGTTTGAAGCGTTTGCCAGCTGGTGCCATTTGAACCGAATGACAGTAAATCCTGCGAAATGTTCAGTCATCACTTTTACCCGAAAGAAAAAACCAGTTATTTTTCACTATGCTCTCCGGGACACCATTATTGAACGTGTGAGCCATGTAAAAGATCTAGGTGTCATTCTGGTCTCTCAACTTACATAATAAGCAATACATCTCGTACGTCGTCGACAAGTCGTCAAGGACATTGGGCTTTATCTTCAGAACAGCTAAGAATTTCTCCGACATCCATTGCCTCAAGTCACTGTATTGTTGTTCCCTGGTACTTTCCATTCTAGAATATTGTTCTGTGGTTCGGAGTCCGAACTACAACAATGGTACTGAGAGAGTCGAGTCCGTTCAACGGCGCTTTCTGCGATACGCGTTGAGAATGTTACCGACCCGTTTCATTTGCCCAGCTATGAAAGTCGCTGCCAGCTGATTGACTTGGAGCTTCTTCGCACCAGAAGAGATACTTCAAAAGCCCTGCTTGTCGCGGACACGTTACATGGCAGAATTGATTGCATGGCAATCTTGGAGCAAGTTAACATTAACGTCCAACCCCGAATGCTTCGTAACAATGTTATGCTGAGAATGCCACTACGTAGGACAAACAGGATATCATTGAACTCGCGCCCCTGAATATCACTTGGGCGTCCCCGTTAGTAGTAACCATCAAAGACCACAACAAGAATGTGCGACTTTGTGTGGATATGAGAAAAGCGCCCTATTCCGGAGAAACGTCCTTTACCAACCTTGGAGGAAATAATGCCTAAACTATTCAGCGAAGTGGATTTCGTGAAGGCATTCTATCAAATCGAAATATCGCCAAATTCTCGAGAAATTACGACGTTTGTGACGCAAGATGCTTATTATCGCTACAAAAGACTAAGGTTTAAACATGGTCATCGAACATAGATACAGCCATTTGAAAAAAACAAGTTTTGAAAGGTTGGGCCGACCTGATCTACGTGAACATGGCTTCACTATCAACGAATCGTAATGCGAGTTCGATAAATCTACGGTTTGCTACAAGGGACATCAAAATTCAATGGCATTCTGCCTACAAATGACAAGCTGAACGCGTTCCAGAACTATCATCGTCCTCAGAGCTTGACCGACATGCGTAGTTCTGGGTCTAGTAAACTACGTTGGGAAGTTTATTCCTACGCTATCGAATGGTAAATACATGTTTGTGCTAGTTGATTTGTATAGCCGTTACGTGATTGTCGAGTTCATGTCCCACACTACATCGTCTGATGTAATACGATTCTTGCAGCAAATTTTCACGACAATGGGACAGTCGATTGTGTTGACAACGCGAAAAACTTTTCAAGTCAAGAGCTCATGGACTTCTGTGTTGATTACGACATAAAACTCACTCACACGACACCTTACTGGCCTGCTGCGAACGGAGAAGTGGAACAGCAGAACCGTTCACTCATGAAGGTGCTCAAGATCTAAAAGGAAGATGAGACAACTGGCTTCTTTTTGTCTGTGACGTGTTCTTCTTCTCTCGCGGAAACGACCGTGCAAAAATCATTTCATTATGGGCTGTCAAAATACAAGAAAATAGATTCCCTGTTTTAAAAATTCTTGCGCTTATATACGTTCACCCGACCAATCAGACGCTGGTTCATTGTTTTTAGTTAAGTATGCGAACAATAGAGAGATCTTAGACAGTAGATATCAGTGAAGTTTTTAGCTATCCTAAAAATGAACCCTAAAGTTCTTGACGCCTTATCAACAACATATGCAATGTATTGCTTGAATGAAAGCTGCGAATTCAAGATCACACTCAAGTCTTTCACCAGATTCACGCGTTCGATTGTCGAGCCAAGCAGGTCATAGCTAAATATTATCGGTTGTTGTTTTCGTGAGAACGTAATAGCGGAGCATTTGGCTGGGTTCACTACCATTCTGTTTAACCTGCACCAACTAGCGAATACATTCAGCTGACGTTGAAGAAAGTGACAGTCAGCAATGGAGCAGATTCGTAGGAAGATTTTGAGGTCATCTGCATATGATAACCGAGGAGCTTCGATGACCAAATGCACGTCGTTGAAGTACAGTATAAAAATTAACGGTCCCATGTGGCTTCCCTGAGGTATACCTTATGTGGCGAAGAAGCTAGCTGCTCTGCAATCTCCTTTGGCGACCGGTAAGATATGATCCAAACCAACTCAGAAAATTACCGCATACACCGAGCCTGCCGAGTTTAGCAATCGCAATAGCATGGTTCAACTTGTCGAATGCTGCGGATAGGTTTGAATAAATAACGTCCGTTTCAACCCGATCCGACATGCTTTCGGTTATATACGGTGTGAGACACAACAGATTGGTGGTTGCAGAGCGGCCGACAGTAAACCCATGCTGATCAGCACTCAAATACTGCTTGCAATAGGACAGCAACGGTTCCAAAATCACTAGCTCGAATAGCTTCGAAACGGCACTTAACGATGTAATTCCTCAATAGTTATCCACAGCTCGTTTCCTTCGTTTTTTGTGGACTGGAAACATGTGCGCAAATTTCCAGCAAGATGGAAATAAGCCACTGGAGAGAGCCATTCGGAACAGGCGAAGAAGCGGAATTAAAAGCTAGCAATATGTCTCTTCAAAAATACAGATGGAACTCCATCAGGTCCAGGATTGAAGGATGACTTGAGCAGAGTCGCGGCCTTAGAAATCATCTCAGCATTAACATCAATTGCACCCAGCGTTTGATCATTTACTGGAACGTTCCTGGCAGCCAGGTTAATATGGTCGTCAGTTAGTATCTCATTAGTGAATACACTGGCAAACTTTTCGGAAAACAGGTGGCATATATCCTGAATGGTGGCAGCAACTTCTCCGTTGAATTCCATAGACGATGGGAGGTCGGATTCCCTGCGTTGCTCATTCACGTAGTTCCAGAAGGATTTCGGGTGTAGCTTAACTTTCCGCTCTCCCTGGAAATCACAGATAAATAAGGCAATAACTGACCATCATCAAGTCTCATTGGATACTCGCCATAGTGAGTGGGTTGGAAGACCCCCTCGCCACATCCGACAGCAGGTCCGGAACGACTATGATGAACGAAGGCTGCTGATGGCAGGACTGAGACGGAGGTATTGGGGGCTTCCATGGGGCTTTCTTCGGCGCGTTCCAGGTTTCCAGGATTGGGAGTTACAGAGGCATCACTGCAATGACTAACATAGTCAGAATTGCTGAAAATTTGATCGGCATCAGGCAGTGAATAGTCAATATATTGATTGTACTTGCTTGTAGTGGCAAGGTGGAAGACTCCTGATTCATATCCAGCCACAGGTCCAGAACGACTATGCTGAACGCTGGCAGGAATCGGCACGACTGGGCTGGAGTAACCAGGAGCTTCCAAAGAGCGGTGAATTAGGATTGTTCGAACAGAATAAATAGAACGACTTTGATGGCGGGAAACAGCTAGCGCGACTGGATCGAGTGGTTCGAGGTCTCCCATAATACGACAGGCAGTGCGTTCTGGTTTACAGCGTTGCAATTCTGAATCAGCATACTGGGTCTAGTCCGGAGATGGGAGTTGGCTGACGTGTTCAAACGAGGCATCCACATGTTTTTTGAACCGTCTTCAAATTCACGAAACAAAATTCCTTTCTGCCATGTATCCGATGTAAGAGCAACTGCACGTAGTTTGGGAGCCCCGACTTTGTACGATATGTAACTCATACGGCTGATGTTGGATGCTTTTTAACTAGAGGCACAACCTTAATCGGATCTTCGCACTGTACACAACCTTTGACCAGCTTCTCGATTGATTCCGATTTCACGCTAGGATGTATGCGAGAAAGGTACAGCCCAAACAGCTCGGTAGGTTCAGGGACAGTAAGGACCTCGGTAAAGACATTGTCATCCGTTTCTGCTTTAGTACCACCAACAAGTGGTTTGCTGGTGAGCGAGCCTTCATCGTGGCGCCGTTTTAATGGCGGTTGACGCATAAGATCGCCGGAAATCAAGTGTGTTGGAGTTGTCAATGCGATTCGTTTCGACAGCTGAGCGATCTGCTGTCCTTGCTTAGTCATTTCTTTCCTAAGTCCAGCGTGTGCGATTTCCTGTTTCTCGGTGATAGAATTAATCGCACTACCAAACGACGAAACAGTAGTTTTGAACCGGGCACATTTCATCAGCTTCGCGCACTCGTTGTACATCTAAAACAAGTTCGGGCTAATGTGGACAATGTTCAGAAAAGCCTCGTTCAACTTTGTGCCGCCGCATTTCAGGTGAATCATCCTGTCGCAAAAAGCCATGCAGCAGACGGATTCTTCATCGCCTTTAACTGATTTAGCGCATTGGTCACAAGCGGAAGTCATGCTGACTCAGTTTCCAAATCTAATTTAGAAACAGCGGTGGAGAGGCTCTAATACGCAAGGAGGAGTTGGATTCTGCAGAGCGTCTGATATCGACAATAACAACAGTAAACTCTACAAGATGACCGATTAGATAACTTTTTCACTGTTTTCACAACACGTAATATGCTCCAAATAGACGATTATCACAACGAACTGCACTTTCCACTAACAACCGGTAAAATTATGCAAGTCTAGAGAACGGGAAAAACAAAGAACGATAGCTCGTGTGATAAAACATCATCAAATTTAACAGCGCAAAATCACGGCGATGTGAATAACAACAACGATTGTCAACTTATGCATAGTTGATATGCTGGTCTATGGCCCTTATTACCGATGTCAGCTCACGGTGAAGTGACAAATTATCACTCACGGTGAAGTGATTCCCATTTGATTTACACGTAAATCACTTCATCGTGAGTGCCAACTGATCACTTCACTTCGTTTTCACTGTGAAGTGACACCCGTAATAAGGGCCTATGGGTCTTCTCAAGAAGAACACGATAGAATGCTCAAAGATGCTCTCGATCGTCTACGTCAGCGCTGCCCAACGGAGAAGTGGAGCGGCAGAACCGTTCACTCATGAATGTGCTAGAGAGCTAAGAGAAAGAGGAGACAACTAGCTTCTTTTTGCCTGTGACGTGTTCTTCTTCTCTCGCGGAAATGACCGTGCAAAAACTATAAGCAAGATTACACGCAACATAACATATTGTTGATTCAGAGCTTTCAATAGATAATATTATTGATTCACAAGTATTGTACGACACTCAAGAGGAACGGTTCGAGCCAAAAAAAAAGCTTAATCAATAGATTTTTCTACCATCATTGCCATCTCACATGAAGTCAAACGTGAAATACCTACTTATAATTCGCTGTATTATTTTTCCGCTTGGGATTACAGTAAGTGATCCAATTCTCCGAATGAGTTTTACGCAATTAACTACCAACCATCGTCAAATCTAATGAACTATTTTCAATCTCTACAAGGGTTAAAAATATATATCGAAAAACATGTTCAGCCAACTTTGATCCCATTCGGAAAATTGTATCACTCACTCCTGTACCTGCAAATTCCAGTATGTTTATGCTTTCTATAGCTGTTTCAATGGTTAGGTACTTTCAAATACTACGAGTACAAGTAGCCAATGTCATCTCGAAAACAATACTTTGGAGTTTCCTTCTCGATCGATAGCGCTGTTGTTGGACTTATCTACTATTCCTATTAGGCATTCGAATCCAAATTCAAAATTCATGCAGAGAGCATTCGCCATAAAATAAATCAGTACACGCTTATGCCGCCGTTATACTCATTTCTGCACGAACCGTTAAATATGTTTCTCGCTTATATACCTATACTATTAACCCAGGAAGCTTATGACCAATATAGCAACATGTACCCACCCGAACAAAATGGCACCAACTAACACACTCTTTCTACGTATCCCAACAGATCGAGGATCGCGCCAGCATCATCCCGTTGGTGGCCGGATTGCGCAAGGAGGTGCTCGCCCTAATCTCCGAGGGTATCGCCCTGGTTTGGGAGAGCTACAAGCTGGATCCGTACGTCCAACGGCTGTCGGAGAATGTAACTTCCTTCCAGGAGAAGGTCGAAGATCTGCTGGTCGTCGAAGAACAGCTGGATGTCGATGTTCGTTCGCTGGAGACGTGCCCGTACAGTGCGGCGACGTTTGCCGATATTCTGTCCAAGATCCAGCATGCCGTCGATGATCTGTCGCTGAAGCAGTACTCCAATCTGCACGTTTGGGTTGCCCGCCTGGATGAGGAAGTTGAGAAAAAGCTGGCCGCCAGGCTGCAAGCCGGTATCCAGGCCTGGACCGATGCGTTGACGGGAAACAAGAAAGAAGTCGATCTGTCGATGGATACGGATGCTCCGGTACAGCCGACCATCAAACCGGGTGGCGATCCACAGATTCAGAAAGCGATCCACGAGATCCGTATCACCAACCAGCAGATGTATCTCTACCCGTCGATCGAGGAAGCTCGATTCCAAATCATGCAGCAGCTGTTTGCATGGGAAGCAATCGTTACGTCGCAAACCCGGCTGCAGAGTTCTCGCTATCAGGTTGGATTGGACAAGCCTGTTTCGCAGACGTACAGGAATCTTCTGACAAAGTTGCCCGGAGGTTCGGATCCATTGGAGGGAAGTTACGGTGCAATCGAGAATCAGATGTCCGAAGTTCGTAACTACGTCGATGAATGGCTTCGCTATCAGAGTTTGTGGGATCTACAGGCCGATACCTTATACGGTCGTCTGGGCGAGGACATCAATCTTTGGATCAAGTGTTTGAATGACATCAAGAAGTCGCGTACGACTTTCGATACTTCGGATACTCGTCGTGCTTACGGTCCGATTGTCATTGATTATGCTAAGGTGCAGGCGAAGGTCACGCTGAAGTACGATTCCTGGCATAAGGAAGCGTTGAGCAAGTTCGGACAGCTGTTGGGTAACGAGATGAGCACTTTCCACGGTAAGGTGTCCAAGAGCCGCAGCGATCTGGAGCAGCAAAGTATTGAAGCTGCCAGCACGTCCGATGCAGTTTGCTTCATCACGTATGTGCAGTCGCTAAAGAAGGAGATGCTAGTTTGGGACAAGCAGGTGGAAGTGTACCGTGAAGCCCAGAGAATCCTCGAGCGTCAACGTTTCCAATTCCCGAACAATTGGTTGCATGTGGATAACATCGAAGGAGAGTGGTCCGCTTTCAACGAGATTATGAAACGTAAGGATTCCGCTATCCAAACGCAGGTTGCCAGTTTGCAGGCCAAGATCGTTGCCGAAGACAAGGCCGTAGAGTCGAGAACGTTGGACTTCCTGAACGATTGGGAAAAGAACAAACCAACCGGTGGACGTACCCGTCCGGATGATGCTTTGCAGCAATTGCACATCTTCGAGACTAAATTCTCCCGATTGAAGGAAGAGCGTGACAACGTAGCCAAAGCCAAGGAAGCTCTGGAACTACAGGAATCTGCCGTTCCAAACAACAGCACCGAACGTATGTGTGTGGTTTTGGAAGAACTCCAGGACTTGCGTGGAGTATGGAGTGAGCTCTCCAAGATCTGGGCTCAGATTGATGAGACACGCGAGAAGCCGTGGTTGTCGGTGCAGCCTCGCAAGCTCCGTCAATCGCTGGAAGCCATGATGAACCAACTGAAGGATCTACCGGCCCGTTTGAGAATGTACGAAAGCTACGAATATGTGAAGAAGCTACTGCAGAGCTATATCAAGGTGAACATGATGATTGTTGAATTGAAGTCCGATGCCCTGAAGGAGCGTCACTGGAAGCAACTGACCAAGCAGCTACGCGTAAGCTGGGTCCTATCAGACCTGACACTCGGACAGGTCTGGGACGTGAACCTCCTGAAGAACGAATCCATTGTCAAGGATATCATATTGGTCGCACAAGGAGAAATGGCGCTGGAGGAGTTCTTGAAACAGGTTCGTGAGAGCTGGCAGAACTACGAACTGGACTTGATCAACTACCAGAACAAATGCAGGATCATTCGTGGATGGGACGACTTATTCAACAAGGTTAAGGAGCATATCAACTCGGTGGCAGCTATGAAACTGTCTCCGTACTACAAGGTGTTCGAGGAGGAAGCGCTAACCTGGGAGGAGAAATTGAACCGTATCAATTCGCTGTTCGATGTGTGGATCGATGTTCAGCGTCGCTGGGTCTACCTGGAGGGTATTTTCTCCGGAAGCGCTGATATTAAGGTGTTGCTGCCGGTGGAAACTTCCCGTTTCCAAAGCATCAGTTCGGAGTTCCTTGGACTGATGAAGAAGGTTGCCAAGTCGCCTAAGGTTATGGACGTACTGAACATCCCAGCCGTGCAGAGATCGCTGGAACGTTTGGCCGATTTGCTGGGCAAGATCCAGAAAGCCCTGGGAGAGTACTTGGAACGCGAGAGAACTTCTTTCCCGCGGTTCTACTTTGTTGGAGACGAAGATTTGCTGGAAATTATCGGTAACAGCAAGAATGTGGCTCGTCTGCAAAAGCATTTCAAGAAGATGTTTGCCGGCGTTGCTTCGATACTACTGAACGAGGACAATACGGTTATTCTGGGTATCGCTTCTAGAGAAGGCGAGGAGGTGAAGTTTATCAAGCCGGTGTCGACGATTGATCATCCGAAGATCAACGAATGGTTGACTCTGGTCGAGAAGGAAATGCGATTCACTTTGGCTTCTTACTTGGCTCAAGCTGTCCAAGACATCAAGCAGTTCAAGGACGAGATCGACCCGCAGAAATATATGGAGTGGTGTGACAAATACCAAGCTCAGATTGTGGTGTTGGCTGCTCAGATTTTGTGGTCCGAAGACGTGGAAGCAGCTCTGCAGCAAGCATCAGATAGCCCGGGTAATAAATCCCCAATGCACCGTGTGTTAATCACCGTCGAAACAACACTGAACGTACTGGCTGATTCGGTTCTTCAAGAGCAGCCGCAGCTCCGACGCAAAAAATTGGAGCATCTGATCAACGAGTTCGTACACAAACGTACCGTAACCCGTCGTTTGATCAACCATGGCGTGAACAATCCAAAGTCCTTCCACTGGCTGTGCGAGATGCGTTTCTACTTCGATCCTCGCCAAACGGAAGTGCTGCAACAGTTGACGATTCACATGGCCAATGCTCGTTTCTACTATGGCTTCGAGTATCTCGGCGTGCAGGATCGCCTGGTTCAAACACCGTTGACCGATCGTTGCTACCTAACCATGACGCAAGCACTGGAAGCCCGACTCGGTGGATCACCGTTCGGACCAGCCGGTACCGGTAAGACGGAATCGGTGAAGGCTCTCGGTAATCAGCTGGGTCGCTTCGTGCTCGTGTTCAACTGCGACGAAACGTTCGACTTCCAGGCCATGGGTCGTATCTTTGTCGGTTTGTGCCAGGTCGGCGCGTGGGGTTGCTTCGATGAGTTCAATCGTCTGGAGGAACGTATGCTTTCGGCCGTTTCGCAGCAAATCCAAACCATCCAGGAAGCGCTCAAATCGCAGCAGGAGGGTAAGATGAAGGATGCGCAGAGCATTACCGTCGAGTTGGTCGGCAAGCAGGTTCGCGTGTCCACCGATATGGCCATCTTCATCACCATGAATCCTGGCTATGCTGGACGTTCCAATCTGCCGGACAATTTGAAGAAGCTGTTCCGTTCGCTTGCTATGACCACCCCGGATCGCCAGCTGATTGCCGAAGTTATGCTGTTCAGTCAGGGTTTCCGTACGGCGGAGAAACTTGCCTGCAAGATAGTACCATTCTTCAAACTGTGCGACGAACAACTATCCAACCAATCGCACTACGATTTCGGTCTTCGTGCACTGAAATCCGTACTGGTGTCGGCTGGTAATGTGAAACGTGACCGCATCATGAAGATCAAGGAAACAATGAAGAACCGTGGGGAAGAGAACATCGACGAGGCATCCATTGCGGAAAATCTTCCGGAACAGGAGATTCTGATTCAGTCGGTTTGCGAAACCATGGTACCGAAGCTGGTCGCAGAGGATATTCCGCTGTTGTTCTCGCTGCTGAGCGACGTGTTCCCGAACGTAGGCTACACCAGGGCCGAAATGAAGGGACTGAAGGACGAAATCCGCAAAGTTTGCGCCGAGGAGTACCTGGTCTGCGGAGAAGGCGACGAACAGGGAGGCGCTTGGATGGAGAAGGTAAGTTGATGCGAAACACGTTTTGAGCTTTGACTCAGAACACTAATGTTACTAACAGACCGAGAAATCAAAACATGTGTATCTTTTCTTTATTTCCCATTCTAATCGTTCTCAAACTAACCATATCCATACGTACAGGGAGTCGGTGAAACATGGGTGGACAAAGTGAGTTTTACCCGCTTAGACTGCCTCAGTGTGTCGTTACTCTTTCTTTTGGTTTCCATGTTTCATGTTCGTTAGACTACCTACCAGCCACTGTCTAATATGCCTTTTTTCCAAATCGTTCAGGTTCTTCAACTGTACCAAATCTCCAATCTCAATCACGGTCTCATGATGGTCGGTCCGTCCGGTTCCGGTAAGTCTACCGCTTGGAGAGTGCTACTGAAGGCGCTGGAACGTTTCGAAGGCATCGAGGGTGTTGCCCACGTTATCGATCCCAAGGCAATTTCCAAGGAAACCTTGTACGGTGTGCTGGATCCGAACACTCGCGAGTGGACGGACGGTTTGTTTACTCACATTCTGCGTAAAATCATCGATAACGTACGTGGTGAAATCAACAAACGTCAGTGGATCATTTTCGATGGTGACGTAGATCCTGAATGGGTTGAAAATTTGAACTCCGTGCTGGATGACAACAAGCTTCTGACGTTGCCGAACGGTGAACGTCTATCGCTTCCGCCGAACGTAAGAATTATGTTCGAAGTCCAGGACTTGAAGTATGCCACCTTGGCTACTGTATCTCGGTGCGGTATGGTTTGGTTCTCCGAGGATGTCCTGTCAACTGAAATGATCTTTGAAAACTACATGTCGCGATTGAAGAACATTCCATTGGAAGATGGCGAAGATGAGAGCTTCACCACTCAGTCCAAGAGTGCGGAGAAGGACGATGAGTTGACTCCGGCCTTGCAAACGCAGCGAGAAATGGCATCTCTTTTCCATCCATATTTCACTTCGGATGGTTTGGTTGTGCGCTGCTTGGAGTATGCTATGGGTCAAGAACATATCATGGACTTCACTAGGCTGCGTGCTTTGAGCTCACTGTTCTCAATGTTGAACCAGGGAGTACGAAACGTGTTGAACTTCAACCAACAACATTCGGATTTCCCTGTCCCACCGGAACAGCTAGAACAATACATCCCAAAGTTGCTGATCTATTCCCTGCTGTGGTCGTTTGCTGGTGATGCTAAGCTTAAAGTCCGCTCCGATCTAGGCGACTTTGTCAGAAGTGTAACAACGATCAATTTGCCAGTCCAATCTGGCAATCCAATCATCGACTACGAAGTGAACCTTCAAGGTGAATGGGCTCCATGGTCCAACAAGGTTCCGGTTATCGAAGTGGAAACTCACAAAGTAGCTGCCCCGGATGTTGTCGTTCCCACACTGGACACCGTGCGTCACGAATCGCTGCTGTACACTTGGCTCGCCGAACATAAGCCACTGGTACTCTGTGGTCCACCAGGTTCCGGTAAAACCATGACTCTGTTCTCGGCTCTCCGTGCCCTTCCTGATATGGAAGTGGTAGGTTTGAACTTCTCGTCGGCCACCACTCCTGAATTGCTGCTGAAGACGTTCGACCATTACTGCGAATACCGCAAGACACCGAATGGAGTCATTCTGGCGCCGGTCCAACTCGGCAAGTGGCTTGTCCTATTCTGCGACGAAATCAATTTGCCCGATATGGATTCGTACGGTACACAACGCGTCATCTCCTTCTTGCGGCAGTTGGTGGAACACAAAGGCTTCTACCGTGCCGCCGATCAATCCTGGGTGTCGCTTGAGCGTATCCAATTCGTGGGAGCTTGTAATCCACCTACGGATCCGGGTCGTAAGCCGCTGTCTCATCGCTTCTTACGCCACGTTCCCATCATTTACGTGGACTACCCTGGCGAGACCTCACTCAAGCAAATCTACGGTACGTTCAGCCGGGCTATGTTGCGTCTGATGCCGAACCTTCGCGGTTACGCCGAACCACTCACCAACGCCATGGTGGAATTTTACCTGTCATCCCAGGATCGCTTCACGCAAGATATGCAACCGCACTACGTTTATTCGCCGCGTGAGATGACACGTTGGGTACGAGGTATTTGCGAAGCTATCCGACCGCTGGACAATCTGCCCGTTGAGGGATTGGTCCGTTTGTGGGCCCATGAAGCGCTTCGACTGTTCCAGGATCGTCTGGTGGAGGAATCCGAACGTCGTTGGACAAACGAGAACATTGATTTGGTCGCGATGAAGCACTTCCCTAGCGTGGATCGCGAGAAGGCTCTGGAGCGACCGATCCTTTACAGCAACTGGCTGTCCAAGGACTATACGCCGGTCAATCGGTCTGAGCTGCGAGACTACGTTAAGGCACGTCTCAAAGTGTTCTACGAAGAAGAACTGGACGTTCCGCTGGTGCTGTTCGACGAAGTTCTGGAACATGTTCTGAGAATCGATCGTATTTTCCGTCAACCGCAGGGACATCTGCTGTTAATTGGTGTCTCGGGAGCTGGCAAAACTACACTATCGCGCTTTGTTGCCTGGATGAATGGACTGTCGATCTTCCAGATCAAGGTTCACAACAAGTATACCAGTGAGGACTTTGATGAAGATTTGCGTTGCGTGCTGCGTCGTTCCGGTTGCAAGGACGAGAAGATTGCATTCATTTTGGACGAATCGAACGTGCTGGACTCTGGCTTCTTGGAACGTATGAACACACTGTTGGCGAACGGTGAAGTTCCTGGATTGTTCGAGGGCGATGAATACACGACGCTGATGACGCAATGTAAGGAGGGAGCCCAACGCGAAGGACTCATGTTGGATTCCAGTGACGAGCTGTATAAGTGGTTCACCCAACAGGTCATGCGCAATTTGCATGTTGTCTTCACCATGAATCCGTCTACCGATGGACTGAAGGATCGTGCGGCTACGTCGCCGGCTTTGTTCAATCGTTGCGTGCTGAATTGGTTCGGTGATTGGTCCGACTCGGCCCTGTTCCAAGTGGGTAAGGAGTTCACCGTGCGAGTGGATCTGGACAAACCGACCTGGACTGCACCGGACTTCTTCCCGGCTGCTTGTCCTCTCATCAACAATACACCATCGCATCGGGATGCCGTCATCAATGCATGTGTGTACGTTCACCAGACGCTACACAAGGCCAATACACGGCTGGCCAAACGCGGCGGCCGCACGATGGCCATTACACCCCGGCACTATTTGGACTTTATTCATCACTTTGTCAAACTTTACTCGGAGAAACGAAGCGATCTGGAGGAACAGCAGCTGCACTTGAATGTCGGTCTGAACAAGATTGCCGAAACGGTCGAACAGGTGGGTTGGTTTGAAGCGATTGTAACGTTAGAAAGGACCCTGAAAAAATATGCCATTTTAGGTTGAAGAAATGCAAAAGTCGCTGGCGGTTAAGTCTCAGGAATTGCAAGCGAAGAACGAGGCTGCCAACGCTAAGCTGAAGCAGATGTTCAAGGACCAACAGGAAGCGGAAAAGAAGAAGGTTCAGTCGCAGGAGATCCAGCAACAGCTAGCAGAGCAAACCATTAAAATCGAAGAGAAACGCAAGGACGTCATGGCCGATCTGGCGCAGGTCGAACCGGCTGTCATCGACGCCCAAGCAGGTAGGTTCTATTGTTTATCCTTTTGTTTCGTTTGTTTCTGAGTGTTTCAGCACCCATTTATCAAAACAACCTGTATTACAAAATTAGCTGTGAGCAATATTAAGAAGAAGCAGTTGGCCGAAGTTCGTACGATGGCCAATCCACCGGCACCGGTAAAGCTGGCGCTGGAATCGGTCTGTTTGCTCCTCGGGGAGGACGACCGCGGTGGAGATTGGAAAGCAATCCGTGGCATACTGGTTAAGGACAGTTTCATTACGTCCATCGTCAAGTTTGACACATCACAGTTAACGTAATTATCGTTCGATTTCAACTAGCTAAAACTATTTACTCCACCATATTATAATCGAAATTTGTGTACGATAATCGTTCGCTAATAACGCTGAAAGACTTAACTCCAACAACGCAGTGTAGCTTCAAGTGATGTGATCAATACATATAGCCAAAATATTATACTCAAAACGTACTCGTATTGTGATAACGCCGGCACGAATGCGGAATGAGGAGCGAACGAATTAATATCCTATACCTACAACCTGGGAAGGCAGCTAATTCAAATACAAATTCATCTCACACATTCGCTCCATTTGAAATAATCGCCAAATACTCACGTCAAAGTAACTAAATGTTGTAATATTTCTCTTTTTCTTTCTTTTTACCATCATTGTCATTTACCAACACACACCCACTTAACATCCAAACAATTTCTACCATAATCAATACTTGTCCGTTTAACCACCAAATATATACATATATCCAACCGATTCAATACTAAAATCCTAAACCCAACAAACAATAATAACAACAACAACAACAACAACTACAACGAAAAACAGCGGTCAAATCGATCAAGAAGCAGCATCTCGTCGAAGTACGTTCGATGGCCAATCCGCCGGCCGTCGTCAAGCTGGCCCTGGAGTCGATCTGCTTGCTGCTAGGAGAGAACGCCTCCGACTGGAAGTCGATCCGTGCCGTCATCATGCGGGAGAACTTTATCAATTCTATTGTGTCTAATTTCAGTACCGAAGACATAACGTAAGCATGATGTTTTCTCTCTATTTACCGCTATTTCTCAACACTTTACAACAATTTCTACTATATCGGTAGCATTCCCCCAAAATTTCACTACTACTTCTGTTGTTGTATTTTTGTTTTGCTCCGTTGTGAACTGAACTAGGTACCAGGCATTGCTATACGTTCCAATTATGGCATATGCGAATGCCGTAAGCCATAATAGGAGCGTATAGCCATAATCGGTACATCTTCGCTACTCTTTTGTAAACTTTCTTTCTCTTCTGTTTTTGTTTGGTTTTTGTAGTGCCGTTTTTCGTAGGTAATTAGAATTGTTGTGGTCCTCGAATGTTACTGTTGGACTTTTTCAAGCATGAGTTCCTGGATACAGCGTTCCCTTAAAAAGATCGTTTCTTCCTATTGATAATTCGTTAAGAAATTGAATCATAAGAGCTTCAAAAAATGAAACATGAAATTTACTAAATTGGCAATCGTGCATACCTTAATTATGATGTCTGTGCTAGGAAAGTTTGCTTTCACGACCATCTGAAAGCGAAATCGTTTTTTTTTTGTACTTGAAATTGATGTCTTAATTAGGGAAACACCATACTTCTATACAGCTTTGGTTTATAGTCACTATATTCAAACTTGACTAAGTGATTAATTTTTCGTGCTCGTTTCGTTGCTCCCATTTTGAAACACCTTCTAAAAGTTGAGCGTCGATTTCAGATCCTTTAAGTGCAAACAAAGTTCTTTTCTATTACTCAATGTACAAAACTCACCACCAACCAGACATCTCCTATAGGAACGTGTGAAGTTCATAAAATGCTGATAAATAATGCCGTTGTAAACAGCTTCATTGCATGATGGTTGCGGTTGCTTGTTGTGTAATCTAACAAACGTATATATTTAGTTAATATATTCAAGTACCCCTAACCTCGCTTCACCGCCGACAAATCCGTGGCGCGACTGATTACATCTTAATATTTTCTACCCCACCAAACCGCAATCCGAAAATAGCGATGACGTTCGCGAAAAGATGAAGGCCAGATATCTGAGCAATCCGGACTACAACTTCGAGAAGGTGAACCGTGCTTCCATGGCTTGCGGTCCTATGGTTAAATGGGCCATCGCTCAGGTAAGTTATTTGCGCCAGGCTTGGCGAACGGTGTTCCCAAATCAGTACCTCACTCCCATCGCTCTTTCAGGTCGAATATGCCGATATGTTGAAACGCGTCGAGCCACTTCGGGACGAGCTCAGCTCTCTGGAACGGCGTGCCGATACCAACATCAAGCACGGTCAGGAAGTGAAGGAACTCATCACCCAGCTCGAGCAGAGTATCGCCTCGTACAAGGAGGAATACGCTCAGCTCATCTCCCAGGCGCAGGCCATCAAGACCGATCTGGAGAACGTTCAGGCCAAGGTTGACCGTTCAATTGCTCTACTGAAGAGTTTGGTCATCGAACGGGAACGTTGGGAAGCGACGAGCGAAACGTTCCGTTCGCAAATGTCAACGATCCTCGGAGACGTTCTGCTATCTGCAGCGTTCATCGCGTACGGTGGATACTTCGATCAACACTACCGTAGCAATCTGTTCTCAACCTGGTGTCAGCATCTGCAAGCCGCTAGCATACAATTCCGGGCGGACATCGCACGGACCGAGTATCTATCCAATCCGGACGAGAGACTTCGTTGGCAGGCCAATGCTCTTCCGACGGACGATCTTTGTACTGAAAATGCGATCATGTTGAAACGCTTCAACCGATACCCGTTGATCATCGATCCATCCGGACAGGCAACGGAGTTCATCATGAACGAATTCAAAGATAAGAAAATCACCAAAACTAGCTTCCTCGACGATTCATTCCGTAAGAATCTCGAATCGGCCCTGCGTTTCGGTAATCCACTGCTGGTACAGGACGTCGAAAACTACGATCCTATTCTGAACCCGGTGCTGAACCGTGAACTACGCCGTACTGGTGGACGTGTGTTGATCACTCTTGGCGATCAGGACATTGATTTATCACCATCGTTCGTGATCTTCCTGTCAACGCGTGATCCAACGGTGGAATTCCCGCCAGACATTTGCTCACGAGTAACATTTGTCAACTTTACCGTTACGAGAAGTTCTCTGCAGTCGCAGTGCTTGAACCAGGTATTGAAGGCCGAACGACCGGATATCGACGAGAAGCGATCCGATCTGCTGAAACTGCAGGGAGAGTTCCACTTGAGATTGCGTCAACTGGAGAAGAGTTTGCTGCAGGCATTGAACGATGCCAAGGGTAAGATCTTGGACGACGACTCCGTCATCACCACCCTGGAAACGCTGAAGAAGGAAGCTGCCGATATCGGCCAGAAGGTTGAAGAAACCGACAAGGTTATCGGTGAAATTGAGACTGTGTCCCAGCAATACCTGTCTCTGTCGCAGGCTTGCAGTAACATCTACTTCACGATGGATAGCTTGAACCAGGTGCACTTCCTCTATCAATATTCGCTGAAAATGTTCCTGGATATCTTCAGCACCGTATTGCACAACAATCCCAAGCTGGAAGGCAAGACCGATCATACCGGTCGATTGTCTATAATAACCTACGATCTGTATCGAGTATGCTACGATCGCGTTGCTCGTGGTATGCTGCATGCCGATCGTCTCACGTTTGCTATACTGCTTTGCCGAATCCATCTCAAGGGAACGTTCGAAGCGAATCTGGACCAAGAGTTCAACTTCTTCCTACGCAACAAAGAAGGTTTGATCTCCTCTTCTAACCACATCGATGGCGTCAGCGCCGAGCAGCTAGAGTCGGTCACTCGGCTTTCCAGCCGTCTGTCCATCTTCCGAAAATTGCTGGACAAGATTCAATCCATGCCGGAACTGGCCGCCTGGTTGCAGCAAGGTTCTCCAGAACAAAACGTACCGAACCTCTGGGATGAATCTAAGGCCCTATCCGCGGTCTCTGCCTCTATGCATCAGCTTCTGCTGATCCAAGCATTCAGACCCGATCGGGTCATTGCCGCGGCTCACATTTTCGTATCCACAGTCCTGGGAGAAGACTTTATGCCTCAAGCCGAAAAGGAACTTGACTTCTCGACCTGTGTGGAAAAAGAACTCACCAGCAACACTCCTGCTCTGCTCTGTTCGGTCACCGGCTACGACGCTTCGTCTCGTGTGGATGATTTAGCCGTCGAATTAAACAAACAAATTACCAGTATCGCTATTGGTTCTGCCGAAGGTTTCAATCAAGCCGAACGAGTTATCAACATGGCGTGCAAAACTGGACGGTGGGTCCTGCTCAAGAACGTACATCTCGCCCCTCAATGGCTTGTACAGTTGGAAAAGAAACTCCACTCTCTTCAACCGCATGCCGGTTTCCGACTGTTCCTTACCATGGAAGTCAATCCGAAGGTTCCAGTCAACCTTCTTCGAGCTGGTCGCATCTTCGTTTACGAACCTCCACCAGGCATTCGGGCTAACTTGCTGCGTACATTCTCTACGGTTCCGGCCGGTCGCATGATGAAACAGCCTAGTGAACGCGCTCGTCTATATTTCCTGCTATCCTGGTTCCACGCTATCGTACAGGAACGTTTGCGCTATGTACCGCTGGGATGGGCTAAGAAATACGAATTCAATGAATCGGATCTACGCGTTGCTTGCGACACCTTGGATACTTGGATTGATGCTACTGCTATGGGCCGGACCAATCTCCCCCCGGAGAAGGTTCCATGGGATGCCTTGGTAACTCTGCTCTCACAGAGCATCTACGGTGGCAAGATCGACAACGACTTTGATCAGCGCCTGCTGTCATCGTTCCTATCCAAACTGTTTACCGCTCATAGTTTCGAGGCTGAGTTCGCTTTGGTTGCCAATGTGGACGGTGTTGCCGGTGGACCGAATGGTCAACGTCACATCACCATGCCCGACGGTACACGCCGGGATCATTTCCTCAAGTGGATCGAAGCGTTGGCAGATCGCCAAACACCATCCTGGCTGGGATTGCCAAATAATGCCGAGAAGGTTCTTTTGACCACCCGTGGAACTGATTTAGTCAGCAAACTGCTAAAGATGCAACAACTAGAGGACGACGACGAGCTCGCTTATAGTAATGATGAAAGTTTGGATGCGGTTCAGACTCGTCAGGAAGACGGACGGCCATCGTGGATGAAGACATTGCATAACAGCGCTCTTACCTGGCTGCAACTGTTGCCGAAGCAGTTGGCTACATTGAAACGAACTGTGGAGAACATCAAGGACCCGCTCTATCGCTATTTCGAACGTGAAGTCTCATCCGGAGCGAAGCTTCTGCAAACCGTAGTTAGCGATCTGCAGGATGTAGTGTACATCTGTCAGGGTGAAAAGAAACAGACCAACTACCACCGTACTATGCTCAGCGAGCTGGTCAGAGGTATTCTTCCCGCTGGATGGAGACGCTACACTGTTCCCGTAGGCTGTACGGTCATCCAATGGGTTACTGATTTTAGCCACAGGGTACTCCAGCTGCAAAAGGTGTCCATGCTGGTTTCGCAAGCTGGTGCCAAGGAGCTACAGGTGATTGCTTAGAATTAATTAGTCCAAATTCAAATTTCTATCTTACTGTTGATTTTTCTTTTCAGAGCTTCCCTGTTTGGTTGGGTGGTCTGTTTAATCCGGAGGCATACATTACGGCCACTCGTCAATGTGTTGCGCAAGCGAACAGTTGGTCCCTGGAGGAGCTGACCCTAAACGTCACCATTACGGAGAACGGTTCCGACGGATTCGATAATCTCAAAGACAGCAGCTTCGGTATTTCCGGACTGAAACTACAAGGCGCCCAGTGTAAGAACAACCAACTGTTGTTAACGTCGGCCATCATGACCGAACTGCCGTTGACGTTGCTCAAATGGTCACGTATCGATGCCGAAACTGCCCGGGCAACGAAGCTGACGCTTCCAGTTTATTTGAACTCCACGAGGACCGAGCTTCTGTTCACGGTTGATATGACTGTAGCTCCAGGACAGGATCCACACAGCTTCTACGAGCGCGGTGTTGCTGTGCTGGCTTCGACTGCATTGAATTAATACGGAAACGCTTGATTATGCGTAATTATATCAAATTGTCTGCATATTTAAATAAAATATTCGATGAAAATATTTATCACGTGGGTTCAAGGTTTAGACATCATTGGGACTATGATACTAATAGCTTATATATCCAATTTAAACACATTAACTAAATAAAATTTGCTTCGTCATGAAAAAAAATGTCAACGGTTTAATATCTTGGAATGTTCCTTTCAAAGCCTTTATTGTGGTAAAATGGCACGTAGGGTCTAATGGGGCAAGAGTGCCACCTTAACAATTGTACGTTCTATGTATGTTTAATAGTGGATATTTATAGGAGTTTCTACGCCGTATTGCAAGTTCATATTATTGCCTTCATACATGAGCAATGTAATGCAAATTAAATCTCGTCAAAAGTTGTTACGATTTTTTTTCAAAATGTCATCTCAAATCTTTTTTTGATACGGAAATGGGGCAAGAGTGCCACCCCTATGAGCCAAAAGGGCCTTGCGTCTTAAATTGAGTGAAATCGACAAATGCTTGTTGAAGCCTTTTGATTACTAATCATGCTAGCAACAGCTGTTGTTGTTTACTCAATTTAACAATTGAATTTTACAATATTATCCAATACATATTGTATGTAGCTGTTTTTGCCAAGTTGGGTGAAAACAAGCTTACCGAAGACTGAAATGCACAATGAAGCAATTTCTTTGACATTTTTTTTTTATAATTTTATTCATAAATGTAAGGGTGGCACTGTTATAACTACTATACCATAAGTTCATAACCAACTAGGTACTACTATACAATAATCATTTAATAGGAAGTTAAAGTTATTTTTACAACATTTCCTTAGCAGATCCGAAAAGTGGGAAAAGCATATCTTTCAACAATGAAGGTAAGTGCAACCAACAATCAATACGAAACTAACGATTTTAAATTGGCTCACTACTTGACTAGCCTATTGGTTCCAAGCAAACGATTAACGTACCCCATTCTAGTCGATATTCTAGTACTACGCAATGTTTGTTTTGATTCGCTAAAAGTTTGACAGATAAAATGAGGGGTTATTGGTTTTTCCTATGTTTCGAGGGGTGAATCGATTAGCTTGGGACCGAAGAGAGTACCAGAGCTGAGCCAAAAAGTTGAGCACGTTATTTCGGGACCTTCTAGTCTTAGAGTTACCTCTATGGTGCAACCATATAGTTAATAAGGTGTTTCGTGTTAATTTCCAATCCATGATATAAATGAGTTACGTATGGAAGAATCAAACGTTGTGTCGATAGAAGTTTTTGACTGTTACGGCATTGATGATGTTTCAATGCCAGAAGTGGCAGCTGAAATCAACAATTTTGTGAAGGTGACATGCAAATATTAAAAAAAAAAAACTGGGAAAACCATAATCGGACCATGTCATATATGCTTGAAAGCAGTCGTGGTTACTTCGATAGCCCCTTCAGTTTTTTTCTACCGCGCTCGGCTGTGCAAATCTCGGCAAAAAAAGATTTACTGAGATCTCAGCAAACATTTCATTTGTTTGCTGAGATTCAGCTAAGCATTATCCGAGACTCAGCAATCAAATGTCAGTTTCGCTGAGATCTCAGTGAAACTTTTTTTTTGGCGAGATTTGCACAGCCGAGCTCGGTAGAAAAAACTAAGTGTGTAGCGAGGTTGTTAAGAGACGTGTAAATGTCCAAAGAATCACGTGAATAGATGAAGTCGCCATTATGCCTTATTATCATAGATGTAATCCTATGTATGAGTGCTCATTGCAAGACAGCCTATATTACATGATATAAGCCATAGTCTGTCCAGGGTATAAATTGGCTCACTACTTGACTAGCCTATTGGTCCCAAGCAAATCGATTAACGTACCCCATTCTAGTCAAAATACTAGTACTACACAATGTTTGTTTTGATTCGCTATGAAAGTTTGACAGATAAAATGAGGGGTTCGTGGATTTTCGTTTGCTTGGGACCAATAGGCTAGTCAAGTAGTGAGCCAATTTAAAATCATTAGTTTCGTATTGATTGTTGACCCCATTCTAGTCGAAATTCTAGTACATACTACACTATGTTTTGATTCGGTATGAGTTTTTCCCTTGATTTGTTTTCCATCGATCTTGTTTTCCGTGCTGAGCACCAATGCTACCGACGCCAGAGAGGCAGCTCCCACACCTGGACCCTACCTATAGACTCATCAACTCATGAACCGGGGACCAACGGCTTTACTTCCCTTCCGAAGGAAGGCGTGATAAGAGATGTTATGCCTCAGAACATTCCGGTGGCGCCGACTGGGCTTGAACCCAGGCCTGTTTGGGTGAGAGGTAATCACGCTTACCACTACACCACCGGTGTCGCTACTCTATAAAAGTTTGACAGATAAAATGAAGGGTTCGTGGATTTTCCTGTTTCTAGGGGTGCGTTGCCTGTTTTACAATGAACGCTGCATCTTCTTTGCCATCCTTACGTAATTACGTTTGGATTGCACATGCAAGTTCATCTGTTGGGTAGTTAGACCATGTAATGCAATATTTTTCATCACTGACTTTGCCGAGAGGGCGACTCTATCTACGATGCAGGAAAAATTGTGTTTTGCTGTGCACGGAGAACAAATTCGTTAAGTTAAGATAACAATCCTAATAGTTACTTTCACATGGAAAAATATTGTTGTTTGAAAGAAACCTATAGTTATTCCAACATTAATTTGACCGTCAACTCAATCATATCTACCTAATAGATTCAACTGTTCATCTTATACCTCAATTCAACTTTAGCTTTGATCAATGATAACAACCGTCAAATGTAATTTATTTATATTATTTGGTTTCAAGTGATCATCATAAATCCACATACTTTTAACTTGTGATGCGTAGAGCAGGCGATAAGATAGCTGGCTCTCACGCAGATGAACACGGTTCAAACCTAAGTCTCGATCTAAGTTGAATGTCCTTGTTCACTTTTTTTTATGATTTTGCAGTTGTGTTTTTGGGATCGATAAAGAAGCAAACCAAACTTCCTTAATATGTCGATAATGAAGAGCAGTTCGTTTAATAAACATTGTAAAATTTTGTTTTCTAACAATAGTTTTCTTGAATCAACTGAAGCATAGTTGTATTTTGAAGTTTGACGTTTGTTCATCTATTAAAAAATATAGTTGAGCCAACCGATGAGCCAACTATGGACTATAGTTGTTGCCCTTTTGTATACTCAAATCAACTCTAGTTTCGGGTTATCTCTAAAACAATTGAACAATATAGTTATTTTGACCGGAAAAATAATTGCGTCTGCTATAATTTGTTCTCCGTGTGGTTAGCTGCGCACACGCTGAGTAGATAGAAAGAAGATTGATGACGATTCTGAAGATTTCCTGCAAAAAGATGCTGCACGATGCAAGTAGATGCGAGAAATCAAAAAATAATGTGTGAGATTTTTCGAGTATCTACAATTGAGATTAAGATGTGTCGCCCCCCTCGGACTTTGCTCTCTCTACGTTGATACAAGGCAGCCCTACCCATAACGAATAATAGGCCTTTTTAATGCACCACCTACGTAGAGTGCGCCATACGAGTTCAAGAGGAAATGTCAACCAAACATCAAAATAAGGTTTTTCACAACGCAAATTAATGCATTTTACGAGGAATTTTTCATTAAACATCTTGCCAGTTTCCATCAGTAATTGTCTTATTTTACGATTTTCCACAGATCTGAATTGATTTGTACCACAGAGAACAGACGTTGAGGCTCGCACAAAATTTCTCTAAAAACTTGTGTAAAGATTCGAGATAATAAATAAAGATAAAAACCCTCTTTGACAACATGATAGCGCTGGCGTTGCAAAACTTACACTAGACACTAAGTGCTGGTAGCGCCCAGTGGCAATTTTCAACAGATAATTTATCGATACTAGCGCCAAATTGGTCGAAAGTGATAAATTTATAGAGGAAATCAGGAGATGCTAGCGCTACGTAACGGCGACGTTTCCACTTAACTTTACACAAGTTTCTAACCGAACTTGGACGTCTGTTCTCTGTGTTTGTACCTCAACTATTCACGCACAAGAAATCCGGAAGATCATAACCACTAAGGCATTATTCTAATTTTCCATTTTTCTCAACAAAAATATTCCTGAAAACCAGCAGCATCCTTGCAAAAACGATACAGAATTAAATTTTTCAACTGTAGATCAAGTTTTGGCGAGAGTTTTGGAGCATCAGATGAATCAATTTATCAGGAATAGTGAAAAAGTGTTCCGCTTCCAATATCTCACATCTCACGGCAGAAATTTATGCCCACAACCTCGCTCACAACACTCTTTTTGAAGTTCTCTTATTCACCACCAGAGGTTGAATCGATCACTTAGTTTTTAATAAAAAGGCGTATAATACAAAGTTTCGTGGAATTGGGATCTTTAATTTTTTTTAAATGTATCGGTTTTTATACACTCAAAATAATCGACACGTTATAGTCAGCCCAGTGGCAGGCGCGTAGGCAACATGTCATACCGTGACAGCAGGCCCAGCAGAGCAAAATAAATGATTTGATGTCCGGGACATGCTGCCTACTGTCAAACGCTGCTGTTGGTATAGACCTTGTCACTGGCCTGGTTATAGTTACGTAAAAAATCACGTAGAGTATCTCTTTTTGGTTTGCCGTCAATTTTACATGACCCAAGTACCCAAGAATCTACATGACACCACTTATATATTAGGGGAAATTCCATTTGAAATCGTTACATTTTTTAATGAAGTTTACGTGATTTGCCCATACACAGATTCTATGTGCATTTCACGTAAACCCTAAGTGAATTTCACGTCTGAAAAAAATAAATGAGTGACACTCAATATGTCGCTAGTTCAGTGGGCACATTTTAGACGTTACTTTTTTGTGGGTAAATTTAATGTGGTAAGTTTAATTAATTAACCATTTACATAGAGAATAATTAAGCCTGTTTCTTTTTTAGTGTCGGTGTAAGATCAAGTGCAGGATAGGCATTTGTATGATGTAGATGTATGTTTTCCCGTTTCCGATCCTTGGCCCGATCGAATCTAATTTCAAAATGTTTTTGTTGCCGATGTATATATTTTATGACAAAATAAAGGCATATGCATAAAATAATACTAGATATTTGCCTAATGCGAAATCAAGAATAGATTTTATTCAAATCGTAGCAGAATTAACATCATTAGAAACCACCATGAGCTGTACTGAAAGAATCACGTAACTTCTATGTGATAATTCAGTGACGTTGAAGCTTACTGAAATGAGTGCTTCCATATGAGAATCACGTAACGTCTACGTGAAAAGTGATATGGAAAAAATCTATGTATGTTTTCACGTAGCATTATTGTGAAGATTATTTTAAGTGTACGTCATCTGAAAGAGCTTCGTTTTCTGAGCACAGCGATATTTTTTTTCGAAAACATACACTTTCATCTCGATTTTTAAATCAATAGGGGAAATGGATGTAATGTAGGCCTGAATGCCCCTAATTTGGGCTCATACATAAATTCAGCAATCAACAAAATTTTCAATAGTGACCAAAAATAGCCATTAATATCGTCTCAATGACGCGTTCATGTAGATAAAATGGATAAATAGCAGATTGTTAGCGATGGGCCCAATCTTAGATCCATAGGCCAACATTAGAGCCATTTCCCCTATTTAAAGCAAAATAATAACTTAACTTTTTGACACTAAACTAACAAACTGATAGCTCGCTCCCTTGCAAAGTGCCACCGAGAGGCCTAAGGTGGTGATTTTTGCAAATGTAATCGTTTAAATTAGTTCCAGTGTACCAAAGTTGATGAAATTTTGGATTTGGGTTCTATTTTTAAGGCAGATTACGAATATGCATTTTACCTCACGCAGAAAAATGGATTTTTGTTTCAGGGCCTAATGTATTTTGTTATTGATTCAAACATATTGTATCACTATTTCAACCAAACATATTCTTGAATCAACAAAATGGTTTTTAGAATCAACAAACAGATTATTTACTCTACAATAATGCGGTGCCCGCATAAGCGCGAACCATAAATTGACCTTACCTAAAATGGTTAAAATTGTTTATAATCCCTGCTAAACTTCAACTGAAATGGTTATGGAACTTTACATGAACGTTTAATGATAAAGTTTTAACCTTAAGTATTATAGTGTTTTGGAAGTGGACCTTACAAATAATGGGTTGTTAAGAACCATTACCATTCAAAATTCTTGTTTTCTCCATACATTTTCGGAAAGAAAACTATACTAAAACCTTTTAACTTATGGTTTGAGAACATTAATGGTAATGGTTATGGTAACCAGTAAGGTCCATGAATGGTTTTGTAACATCGATCAACTTTATGTGGAATATATCGCGAATTGGTTGCCTGTAAATTACTGATTACCAATTCACGATATATTTCACGTAAAGTTGAGCGATAATACAAAACCATAAATGGACCTTACTGACTACCATAACCATAACCATTAATGTTCTCAAACCATAAGTTAAAAGGTTTTAGTATAGTTTTCTTTCCGAAAATGTATGGAGAAACCAAGAATTTGGAATGGTAATGGTTCTTAACAACCCATTATTTGTAAGGTCCGCTTCCAAAAAACCATAATACATAAGGTTAAAACTTTATCACACAAACGTTCATGTAAACTTCCATAACCATTTCAGTTGAAGTTTAGCAGGGATTATAAACAATTTATAACCATTATCGGTAAGGTCATGTGATGGTTCGCGTTTATGCGGGTGTGTTGATTCAAAAATATTTTTCTTCGAATTAACCGAATAATATATTTGAATATATTAAAGCCCTGAGCCAAAAATATATCCATTTGAATTTAAACATCATTTCTCTGTGTGCTCAATACCCTTAAAGAACACAATTCTGTGAGGTAAAATCTAAAATATCAGTGCTAACATTTGAAAACGGCGCAAAAGCCATTTGTAAACAAATGGTTTGTGGGCCCTTTACTCGCTACCCGAAGAACGCCCACGCAAACCAACAGCATCGTCAGGAAGGGGAAAATTTCCCCTACCCGATGTTGCTGTTGTGTCGCGTGGGTGTACTTCAAGTAGTGAGTAAAGGGCCCACAAACCATTTGTTTACAAATGGCTTTTGTGCCGTTTTCAAATGTTAGCACTGATATGTTTATTTTTTCGCTCTTTGATTTGGAACTGCTCTGTTGCAAAGTTAATGTAATATACATCAGGCATAACATTTGATAACGGCACAAAAGCATTTGTAAACAAACTTTCCAAGGCCCTTTACACGAGAACCAAAGTACGTCCACGCAAACCAACAAGTGGGTTCTTTAGGGGTTTTAAGGTAATTGGATATTCGTAATCTACATCGCAAATGGAACCGAAATCCAAAATTTCATCAATTCTGGAGCACTGGAACTGTTTTAAATAAGTGTGATTACATAAGCAAAAATCACCATCTTAGCGCCCCTCGGTGGTACCAACAATCAATACGAAGCTAACGATTTTAAATTGGCTCACTACTTGACTAGCCCACAGACAAACAGACGTAACTCTTCATTGTGTATCTTCGTTCATGCATTTAACGGTTGATTTGAATATTATCAGTTCCGCGAACTACTCGCCGCAGCGCTGGCATCGGATCACTTTGACGTTTCTATATATTCTATAGAACTTTTATGCAATATTGTTTACGAGCTAGCGAGCAAGTTTGTTTTCCGCGAGAAGCCAGAGAGATGTCGCTACTGAGGTTATATGTTTTGAGATACTATGTTTTCAAGAACAAGTTTTTCAAAGAGTTACGTCTGTTTGTCTGTGACTAGCCTATTGGTCCCAAGCAAATAGATTAACGCATCCCATTCTAGTCAAAACTCTAGTACTACACAATGTTTGTTTTGATTCGCTATGAAGATTTGACAGATAAAATGAGGGGTTCGTAGATTTTCCTATGTTGAGAGGGGTGCATCGATTAGCTTGGGACCGAAGATAGTACCAGAGCTGAGCCAAAAAGTTGAGCTTGTTTCTTCGGGACCTTCTGGTCTTAGAGTTTCCTCTATGGTGGTACTTTGTATGGGAGTGAGCTGTCAAAATGTTAGTTTTGTGTCAAACAGTGAAGTGATTAGTTTGATTTAAATCTTGATTTAAAAATCAAGATAGAAGTAAATGGGATCGAAAAAAATATCGTTGTGCTCAGAAAACGAAGCCCTTTCAGATGATATATAGAAACCGATATATTTTTCAAAATTAAAGAACCCAATTGTTAACAATAATTGTTGACATTGTCGGATAGGGGCAACTGTCACCTTTTCGAATGTGGTATTGGTTTGCGTGGGCGTTCTTTTGTTCGCGTGTAAAGGGCCTTAGAAAGTTTGTTTACAAATGCTTTTGTGCCGTTATCAAATGTTATCCCAATAAACAAATACCATAAACGAACTGTATCCCGGATGCGTAAACTATCCCACCAAATGGTTTGGATGATACTCCGAACACGTCGTTAAGCTCTCTTTTATGGTTATTTTTATTTGGGATGCCTGATATTATATTTTAATAAAAAAAAAATAATGTCCGGATTAACGCACCATCCAATATTCGGTGCATTACTGTATACTTTTTCGATTTACATTACCGAGCCCACTGCTGACTTGCATGCAAATTGAATGTTTATGATGCGGCTGTCAAAAACAGCTGTTTACCACCTACCTCTGATGTGCGGTTGCGGTACGCAATTTATTCGTCTCGCAATTTCTAGAAAAGTTTCTGTTAACAGTTCAGTGACGAAAATTAAACCATTGCAAAGACCGGTGATTCTGAATCATTCAATAGTTGTGCAACAGCTTCAGGGAAGTATTTAGGTGCGCGATATGCTGTGAAAGGTAACTTTCTTTGGAAATCGATTCGGGACAAAGATCTAATCTACTCGTTGTTTACCAGATGGCCGACAATCACGTATGCTCTTCGCTGGTAGATCAAGACGAGGACTCGCCATCCGAGACCGAGGAGAAGGATCACGTCAAATCTAAGGCCATCGTGCGATTCCTGAACGTTCAGAGCACGGCTCCGTTCGCTCGGTTAAAATGTAACACAGACTTGAACTTGCCCCCCTCGAACTGGCTGAGCAACTCGGCCAATTCCTATGGACTGGGAAAGTTTTTGTCCCATCAGGGAGGGTTCAGTAGCTTCCGAATGGCTAACATGTTTCCGGACTGCGTCGGAGGGGTGGATGTCGTATCGGACGCTGAGAACATCAAGCGGCTATTGAAGTTGCCGTATTCGAGAAAGAGCGTCATTTCGATGATTGTGCACCGGATCGAAAATACCCTGCTGATAGACGAGTTCGATGTGGCCAAGTATTTGCTACGGCAGGACGAAACCGATTGGAGATGGTTGAGGTCGTTCATTTACGAAAACATTTTGAACAGTCTGAACGATAACGATAGGAAATTGTTGATCCACACCAAGTCCAGAGAAGCTTTAGCGCAAAAGTACTTGACCTCCAAGTTTTTGTACTATAGTTTGAAAGCGGAGGAAGAGGAAGGGGATGGCGAGGGGGAAGGATCTGCCCAGGGTGACGATGTAGGCTACCTAAAGTATAAACCTTTGCCGCTGGCTGGACCGGTGCTTCCGGAGCCGGATGAAGATGAAAATTGCCCAGATCCTCGTCAAAAGAAGCATGTGTTTAACAGGAACGTGGTGTGGACATTTGAGGATATTCGAATGCTTATCGGCACGGATATGCCGATCTTTGGGGGAGCAAATCGTCCGTGTATCAGCCTTCGGCTGAGGGATGAATCCAAGCCGATCAATGTGTTGACCGGAATCGACTACTGGTTGGACAACTTGATGTGCAACGTACCGGAAGTGGTGATGTGTTATCATCTGGATGGTATTGTGCAGAGGTATGTATTTTTTTAAGTTAAAAGATTGCGGGATTTAAAGAAGCTTCTTCGTAGGTACGAATTAATCAAGACGGAGGATCTGCCTCACCTGGAGGATTCCAAGTTTTCTCCGAAGATGATCCGTAACGTAGCGCAGAATATTTTGGCCTTCCTGAAGGCAAACGCGACCAAAGCTGGTCATACGTATTGGTTGTTCAAAGCGAAGAACGATGACGTTGTGAAGCTGTACGACTTAACTACACTATGCCAAAATAATGCTGCTTGTGAGCCGGAACCCGAGGAGGAAGAATCGGAAGACCCCGACCAAAACAACCAGAACCCGTTCACGATACCGGTAGCAATGTTGCTATATAATGTAGCTCGAAATATGAAAAACTCACCAGAAGGAATCTCCGCTACTAAAGCAGGTGCAATCAAAACCCTACTGGACAATTGCATAACGCTACTGCCAAAGGAAAAGTATCCCCAGATAGTAACGTCCTCGCATTACATTTTGTCCGATTTGTACATCCCAGCGGAGACGGACCCAGGATCACCCAAATTCAACACTGCCGTCGACGATGAGGACGACGAATGCTGTTCGCCGTTTGGAGATCAAACGGCCAGTGCTACTCCTCGGCAAGACGAATACGCGGATGATGATAGAACCAGAGATCACCTTGAAGCTGCTATCAAAAGCATTGAAGAGACGCTACAGGAATACAATGGAGGCGATGGTTGGAGGTACAACTCTAGGCCTCCCCCATTGGTGGTAGGAATCGAGGAACGATGCGAAATTGCCTTGCAGCACATAGCCGATGGCCTGAGTTGCCTGCAGTACTTCGATAGTAGCGAAGAGCAAAAGAACAGAGAGAAGGAGAAAGCAGAAGAGAAGCGCAAAATCTATCACGAAGAAACCCATCCAAATATGGTCAAATCGGAGGACCCAATCCCGTTGCCCTACAGCCCACTGAACGCGCAACCGAAATTGGCAAATCCAAACGAGTCGATTCCGATGGGTTGGAAAGGCGATGGGGAAAACGGTGAAGCAGAACCAGAATCATCCAAGAAGGGTGCCAAGAAGAAGATCAAACGGAAGGTCGAGAAAAAACGGGTTGTGATCGATGGAACGACCTCCGAAGTCGATGCTAGATCACTACTGTTGAAAGGCGAGATAGGTGTGATAAAATCGTGGAACGTTCATTTGAAAATCCTACTGTTTGAGAAGGCATGTCTTACCTATGCAACGCTTGCCGAACGGTATTATGCAGAAGAACGCTACGGAACCTCTCTTCGATTCATCTACGCAGCCGTCCGGTGTCAGCAAGTCGTTACCAAGTATATTTCCTGTGTGTCGTCCCAGCGAAGCCTCCTGTTGGGTCGAATAGGCGATTGCTTTTTCCAGCTGGCCAAGAAGTGGGACGATATCGATCAGTATCTAAAAGAGTTTGAGGAGGAAAACCATGTAGATCAACTAATCATGGGCGAATTGGTGAAGGATATCGGAAGCGATGTGGAACAATCGCTACCTCTACCGACGGCCAACGTCGAACAGCTGATGATCACGAGCTGTGGATGTTACGAAACGGCTGTTGCATGTGCTTCGAAGGATGCCAAGGAGGAGCTCAATCGAAGGTTGGGCAGTGTGCGGAACGAACTGGGTGTGAAATATATGCACTGGGCTCAGGAGGAGTATCAGAAGTTTTGGGAATTGCCTGCTGAGGAAATCGAGGTGTATGAAAAGGCGACCAAAGAGAAGGACTGCAAGGTTGAACCACTGTATCAGGTGCTAGCGAAAAAGTCGTACGATTCGTTGCAGAAGGGAGTAATCCTGTTCGAAGCGGTGAATGATCCCACCAATTTGGCGTTCTTGCTATGCAATATGGGACGGTTTATGCGGTTTAGGGCACACATTCATCTGGTTGGTGAGAGGTATGTGCTGGGGTAATTATATTGAATTTACAACGACACCTAAAATTATTTCTCTCTCCAGTCGTGACAACGTTCATCTGCAGAAGAAGTTCTATCACGAGGCATTCGCATGCTATCAGCGTGCTCTGGGGGTGCTAGGATCGAAAAAGAAAAATCCCGATCTCTGGTCCCTGGTGACTTGGGAACTCTCGACGGCCACGTTCAACCTAGCGAAGCAGCTTCAGGACTACAGCGGAGCAGACGGCAACGATTCCCAAAGCCTCGAAGAGGTCGCGCAGGAAGTGGTGGACATGCTGCAGAAAGCCCTGAAGATCTGCGACCAGGAAGCCAATGGTCCACGGCAAGTACTGTACTCCTTCCGGGCGGCGCTAATTCATCACAGGTATTTTCGGTTGAAACAATACTTTTTTTAATACACTTCCTAATTTTATCTTTTGTTCGGAACAGAATCGCCTCCTACTACCACTTCTCCTTCCGATCGTCCGTGGAGGAACACCGTCGTAAAACCGTGCTACAGCTTTGCAAACTTCACTACGAGAAAGCGGTGAAAATATTCGAAAACCTTAACGAACCGCAGGAATATTTACAAATTCAAATGGAACGAATTGCGCTGCAAGAATATCAATGCGAACTGGCACAGGCTATCCCAATCAAGCTGCGACATCTGCAGCAAGCGCTGGACCTGTGCAAACAGTGTCGACCCACAATCGAGTATTTTTCAACGACGACGCACGCCATCAGTGCCACCACGAACAACAACTTCAACGGCGACGAAATTCAGAAACTGTTGGATCTGCTCGAGATACGACTTCAGGTTATACTGAAAACCTTGGCCAAACTGTGCATGCTTTTGAGCGGAGCGGGTGGCATCAAGAAAGTGGATAGCGATCGGATGGCTAATCACTATAAGGACCTGTTTCGAGTTACCCTTCAGAAGCGCCCGGACCTTACGGCCAAGGATGCGGCCAATGGTTCCAACAATGTGATTAAGGAGTATGCCTTACACCTAGCGAATCAGCTGCAGAAAATTTGTGATCTAGATACGACTGAAAGTTAGTCGTTTCTTCGTTGACACAGAGTCGCATTTGATTCGATTTAATCCATACGTATATTATAATAACTGATGTAAGTTAAAGAACACACGGCATTTGAAATAAACCTATCTTTAGATTTGTTTCCATCGTTTATGAACTATATGAGATTTATGTTCTTGTTTTCCTTAACCATGACTCGCGCATTGCCAGAAAACAACCTCGCAAGGCTAGAAATGAAAACAAAAGTCAAGGCAGAGCAAAACAACGGTAAAAAAATTTGTCTATCTACCGCTGGGATGTGTTTATGAACGATCAGCGAACACAACATGCTGATGCTGAAAAGCCAATGACCCGCATTTTCTCATAAGAAACCGCCTATTTCCTTTCTTTCTATTAAGGGTCATCCATAAATGATGTAGCATATATTTGACCAATTTTAGACCCCCCTCGTAGCGTGTTTTGCTATACCTAATATATCGCCGGTCACAACTTCGGAAACCCCCCTCCCCCTCAAATGCTACGTCATGTATGCATGTTCCCTAACGTACTCTTATGTCGTTGTTTTTGTTGTTGTTGCTGCTGCGTTGCGTCGTGACGCCGACCAAAATTAGAACGCGCCTCGCGTCGCGGTGGTTTATGAATGGTCAAGGTCGCGTGTCGCGATGTGATGCTTAGTGTTTATCACCTTGCACAGACCACTGGCTGTGAGGACTGATAGAAGTGCCTTGCTAACGGCTAATGTAAGCACATTAGTAATGCGAATGGATTATAATAGCTGTTTACAAAACTAGTTAGAGTTTTGATGAAAACGTCATCTTCTTGCCTATGTTTGCCCAATGGTAATGACACATTCTATCCACGTTTTCGCCTGATTGTTTTTTTTTTTTCAGTTTTTAACTGAAAAAAAGGAAAAAGAAAAGTGACCCTCAAATATTTAACCAGTTTTTCCAGGCCAGGAAAAAATAAAAAAATTGACTCGATCTTCTCCGATTTACATGAAACTTTGCGTGTTATGGGCATTCATTCACATTTTCACGATCTTGTAATATTTTTCAAAATGGCGTCAATAAATTGTAGCACGGAAACGTCACTTCTGATCGAAATGACGTTTAAGACAAGGTATTCACAAAAGAAGTGTTGAAACCGAAATATCTCAAAAAGTATATCTTGAATACTTATAAAGAGTAAGGGGTTGTACTCGGGGTACAACAGCACTACCGTATATTTGAAGTAGGATTACGTGCTTGGTACTTGGCTTGGTATCAATATTCGATGACTGTGTTAGGGAAACCACTTTTTTCCATCACGGAAACGCTTCGTGCACAAAACGCACGGAATGTTTGGTCTATTCAATAGATATTAAAAAAGCGAAAATTGTTTGGAGGAATTTCTCGCAAAAATTTTCCAATTGCGTCATATTCGCGATCAATCTTATAAATTCGAGAGTTTTTTTTTTGCTTTCTTCAAGCGTCCTTAACTTTATTCGACCTGCTTCTGGTTAATTGACAAGGTCATGTGGTATTCGGTCATTCCGGGAATTTGTATGTACCACTTCAATACCGTCACGAATTAGACCACAAACGCAGCGTTCAATTAAAATAAACTCTTAAGCAACAATAATTTATGGTGGTCCTGAAAAGAACCGTTTTGTCGTGATCGTTGAGTATTGTTGAGCTATTAGGGTGTTCAACACGTATGAGGCTGGCGAGCTGTATGTTGTTTGGAACGAGGGTGTCGCGCTTGGCATAGATGGCCCACAGCGGCTCACGAAGAGATACTGAATCCGATCAGTAGCGGTGCGGCTTCTTCCTCCTGCTTCGGTGAATGGATGTTCATGTGGGCTGCAGCTCGCTGCTTGCGGGTAGCCTTTCGTTGCGTACTGGAGAACAATGTTCAACACCACGCGCCGAAAGCACTGCTGCTGCTGCTGCTGATGATGACGATGATGACGACCGCCCGGACACCAGCTTACACGGTGACTGAATAAGCACCATTCGGCGAGACCGGATGGAATTAGATTTTGAAATCTGTGTTAGGGAAAGCGCTTTTTGCAGGCAATCGGTGATAATTTTGATCACCATTGCAACAGTTGGACATTTGTGTAATTTTCAATAGTGACCTATTGAAAATTGATAAAGTGTTCATGTTAGCAGATTCGTAGACTTGTTCAGAATTAAAATCCAAATTGACAGAGTTATAAGTGGTCAAAACCTGACCACTTTTTGTAACGCTGTCGATTTTGGTTTTTTGAAATTGCACCCCCAATATGTTGCCGAAAAACGTAATCCTACGTCAAAAAAATAAAGCTCATGAAACATTCAAACTTTTGGAATATTTCAAACTATGGACACTTGAAAATTGACAAAAAACGTAGAAAATCAACTTTTGGTCATATTTTTAAACTTATTTATGTAATTTTTGCATAGATAACGATTTAAAATAAATTACATATTGTTTCCTGTTACAGTAAAAAGGACAGTTCCTTCCGGGGTTTTTCAGTGCAGCGAAAGAGTAAGAAACAGTCCGCCATTTTTCACGAACAGAATGACAGTTGTTTATGGCATTTTCCATAGGAGTAAAGAGCTACAGTAACGCCATAGAGGTAACTCTAAGACTAGTAGGTCCCGAAGAAACGTGCTCAACTTTTTGGCTCAGCTCTGGTACTATCTTCGATCCCAAGCGAATCGATTGACCCCTCGAAACATACGAAAATCCACTAACCCCTCATTTTATCTGTCAAACTTTCATAGCGAATCAAAACAAACATTGTGTAGTACTAGAATTTTGACTAGAATGTTGACTAGAATGGGGTACGTTAATCGTTTGCTTGTCAAGTAGTGAGCCAATTAAAAATCGTTAGTTTCGTATTGATTGTTGGTAACGCCGTCAATACCAATAACTTTAGAATGTGATAGCTTTCAATGATTTGAGATGAAACAGTCAATTGCAAACTGTCTGTAAGGTTCTTGCAATTCGCGTTTCGGCAAAAAATTGCAAGAAATTGACAGATGAATATATGCAAGACAAATACGCCAATGTCATCACAACTACATCAGGCTTGTTTTGTTGATCATTGTCATGACAACTACATAATAATTTTGTTTCATCGTTTGGACAACTACAACCAAAGTAACGTCGTTTTCGTTTTTGCGGTGTAGCACCGGTGTAGTGTAAGTAGTGTTACCATATGGTATCCTAAAGGAGGACATGTCCTCCTTTTTCAATAATTTTTCTACATCCTCCTTTTTCCCGAAAATGTCCTCCTTTTTAATCCTTGCATTTTTGTGTTAAAATTGTTTTCAAGAGCGTTGTTTGTTTAGCCTCATCTTATCTAGCAAATGCCATTCGATGGTGGGACTAGGAGTATACTACAGCTGTCAACCCCCCTACATTTAGGCTGCGATCCTTTTGGTGAATTTTCAATTAAATTTGACAGATGGAAAATTTTCAAATAAACTTGCTTATTTCAGACAGACCAGGAATCAATTTTGACAAATAATTTCTCGAAAGTCGGACGATTAGCATCAGAGTGATCTTCAAACATTATAATTTATTTTTGAAGTATCAGTGAAAATTTATCAAATGTAACACAGAATCAGGCTGCGTTCAATTTTTCTGAATTTTTACTTAAATTTGACACTTCGAAATTAAATTACTATGTTCGGATATCTCTCTGTTGTTGATCGTGTGATTTTCAAGAAAGTGTTTGTCAAAATTAATTCCTGGTCTGCCAGAAATCAGTTTGGTACAATAGCATGTTTATCTGAAAGTTTTCTATCAGTCAAATTTAACTTAAAATTCACCAAATGGAACACAACTACATAGATTGAATCCTTGGATTTTAAGTATTTCAAGCATAACTATTCAAATCGACGTATCTGATTTTGCAAACAATCACTTCAATCGACGATTTGTGGCTAACAACACCAGCTAGTAGGGGAAAGATTCCCCTACCTGATGATGGTGTTTGTTTGCGTGGGTGAGTTAGTAGTTAAGACAAATCGCCGCTTGAAGAGATTGCTTACAAAAGCAGATACGTTGCTTGATTTGTTTAGGCCGCTGCCATACTGAGAGCTAAGAGGCACGCGTAGCGTGAAATCGAATGTAAGAAATAATATCATTAATAAGAATTCTTTTGTTTTTTTTTTTTATTATAGTCACTTTAACGCTCTTGGGTCATTCGTGACTTGTCCGGGGGTGAGATTTGAACTCGTGACTTTGGCGTGAGAGGTATGGATGCTAACCACTACGCCAGGGTCACCCCCAGAATTCTTTTGTATAAAACGCTTAGCGCGCCTCTTCGCTTCCACGGCCTTAGAGTCCTATGCTGAATCAATGGTAAAATTAACAGGTTGCTTAGATGTTCCATGTTGGTTTCAATCAGTGATGACATGATTGTTGTACATGATAAAAGTTGGGATTGGTTTAAAGAAATTGGTGCAAATCAGCTAGACTAGATCATTTCCTAGTATCACAAATTAATTATGAAGGCTAGTTTGATGCATTTTTCAGAAGTATAACGAGAAGATGAATTGAATTGGTAACGACTACAAATTATGAGCAATCTCAATTGATCCTATGCAAATCATCTGAATTTTGTGATAGCGCACATATTATTAAACGGTTGATAAAAAAAACTCACTGTCCTCCTCTAATGTTATGAAAGGGAATCATTGTCCTCCTTAATCAACAAACCTTAAATGAAATGTCCTCCTTTTCAAGTTTTTGATATGGTAACCCTAAGTGTAAGCAGCTCGGTAAAGGCCTGTATAGAGATTGAAACGAAGCGAAAACCTCATACAAAATAATAAATTTTTCACCTGCGTGAAAAACGCTAGTGGCAAATTTTTCACTTCGCTTTGAACTGTAAAGGCCTGTATAGAGATCGAAGCGAAGCGAAAATCTCATACAAAATACTGCATTTTTCACCTGCGTGAAAAACGCAATTGGCAAATATTTCGCTTCGCTTTGAACTGTAAACAGATACGATCCAGCGAAATCTAATGTTGTGGATCGCATCTTTTTCGCTTACGTTTATTTTTTTTCGCGCATGCAGCGCTCGCGAAAAGAACAGCAGCCAAGCGAAAAGTTGACGTTTCGGGAGAGCGTATCTGTCAGATTTTCACTTCACCGGAGGTGTAAACTGATCGATTTCGTTTCACATGAACTGTAAACTGCGAAAAAAGGAAACTGGAAAATGTTCCACAAACATTTTTTCACAACCTTTTTCGCTAGCGAAATTTATGATTTTTCGCGTGCTTCAATTTTCGTTTCGCTTCGATCTGTATACTAGGCTTAAACTGATACGATTCAGCGAAATCTAATTTTGTGGATCGTATATTTTTCGCTT